ATTTGGAGAGGGGTAGGTGCCTGTTTGTGGTACTGAGAATTAAACCCAGGGTCCTAGCACTGAGCTGTATGCCCACCCCTCTTTTTAAAAAAGTTTTATTTTGAAAAGGGCTCTCACTCACTACGTTGCTCGAGTTGGGCTCAGACTTGGAATAGTACTCCTGCCTCAGCCTCCCAGAGTGCTGGGGTAACAGGGTTTTTCATCTTCTGTAGTTGAGTGACATTTCAGATTCTTTTGGTGGTGATACATGAAAAGAAATTAATTTCATGCCCCAACTTAGTACACATATTTATATATTTATGTCACTAAACTTAGTTCCTCAAAGCAGAGTTCCTCACAGGTATTTCATGTGAGGCACTGGTATTTTCTGTTCAGTTATACTTCATTTTAAAATGGAGGGAAGGTTGAGGGTGTGGCTCAATTATAGAATGCGTACCTGGCCCTGGGTTCAATCCCCAGCACCAGGAAAAACAAAACTGCTTCTTATAAATCACTGTGGGGTGGAAACGCAGAGCTTAAAGAATACTACCTCAATACTTAGCCACAGTATTACATGGAGACACTTCCCTGAGAATCACCTGTCCCTTTTGATACTTTTTACTATCCTTTGTGCATTTTTATGCATTAGATCTAAAATAGCCCCAAAGCCTCATGTGTTCAGAAGGCGATTGATTACAGGGCATGATAGCTGACTTGCTATTAGGAGGCCAGTCTGGTTAGAAGAAGCGAGACCGGAACCGTGTATCTGCCCTCCCTGCTCCCCTAGCTCCCTCCTTCCTGGCTGCCATGAGAAGAACAACTTTCCTTCCCCCATGCCGCTGCCACGCTGTTTTCTTCTTTGGAGCCAGCCGTTTGTGGACTGGAGCTCCTAAAAAGATGAGCCAAAATAAACCTCTCCTCTTTCAAGTTACAGTTGTCAGGTGTTTCGTCCCAGCAGCAAGGGCATTCATTAACTAAGACACCTGTTCACTTTATGACCCCGGTGTGACCGCTGGGCATCCTCCCTGGCTCCAGCGCTTCCCTGCACTCCCAGTTCCCTGCCCTGGCTCCGAGCTTTGATGGGAAGCTCCCAGTGTGCGTAGCCTTGCTGTGACGGCTGTCTGTGTGTGGAATGGATCAGGGCGGTGGGGTCGTGAGTGAATAGTAACATTCGGGTCCCAACCTTAATCGTAACTCCTTCCCAGAGATCAAGAGTCTGTATGATTCTCTGAGCAGATGTGTTCTTCTGGAAATTGAATCTCAAAATATTTTGTGAGGGTCACTAAGTTTGGTGTCCACTCTGGTGCTCTGCTTCTCTGACCACTGCAGATTCTGAGAGAAATATACAGAAGCTACAGTAGGGTCTCGCTGGAGCTGTAGCGTCATACCTGTACATGAATGTGGTGTAACATTATCTCCTTCGTTCTCATTTGAGAGAGTATCGTTGTGTTAAAAGGGAGGGAAGGGTGGCCCTCTAAGTAGTTAATCAGTATTTAGTGAGCAGTTTCTAAGAGACATAGTATTTGAGTTGTGTATGTATTTCACTTTTTCAGTAATGCAATATAGATTTCTCTTTCACCTTCTATGACATTTCAGGGGCTCCACTGGACGTTGTCGTTACTTTGAATAAGTATTGGATGGCTCATCAGAAGTATGATTATGAGCCTGCACGCTTTCCCCCTAGAGAACAGTAGAACAACTAAGAAGTTGGAATTCACAGCCCTTTTCCACTTAAAAAAAAAAGATGCCAGTATTCACTGTATGTGTTGAAATTACTTTGGCTCTTGTTTTAGTTAACATGGGGTGTAACAGGAATAATTTCCTAATGTAGATGAATGAAAGCTGATTTGATTAATGTATCTGTGTAATATTGTTATTACTCACTGTAAATGTCAGTACTGTGGCTGTGACGTCCTAAAAAAGTTGTGATGACCTCAGATGCTGTCTTCGCAGGGCTGCAGGCAGGATCCTTCACAGGTGTCCAAGGTGGCCCTTCCTGTGCCTCCTGGATGCAAAGGCCTCCAAGAGCTTCTCATCCTCTATCATATCTCTTCTGCAGCTGAAGACATTTTTAAAAAGTGGGATAATGGTCTTAACTTAAATATTATATTGCCTGTACTTTCTATAGTTTGGGCAACGCTAGACATTTTTAAACCTAGGACTCTCAGACAAACACATCTTCCACGGACTAATGCATGGTTGGTTTAAGCCCTTTCACTCAAACCATGTGCTGTTTCGGGCTTTATCCCTATTTTATTTTAGGCACTATGGGGTTTTTTTTGGTGGTGGTTGTTGGGGTTTTTTTGGTACTGGGAATCAGACTCACAACCTCGTGCTTGCCAGGCAGGTGCTTGCACCACTGAGCTATATCCCCGGCCCCCTATTTTATTTTAAAACTTAATTTTATTTCTATTTTCCTTAATTCAAACCAATAAGAGCCTTTTGCTTCTTTTAGTGGTGAAGTTCTTTTGTCTTTAGCTGTTTTCGAAGTTGTCTTTTCAGTGTGATGAGGAAATTGATAAGGTAGGATCGGGTTCACAGGTTCACAATGCCTGGGGGAATTCCGTAAACTCTTCCTTTGCGGAAGGGAGCAGGTGCAGTCAGAAGTAGTGTGAAAGAGGACAGACCCAGCAAACACTTGAACAGAACCACTGAAAGTCATTAGAATCTCTGTGCTATCATTAGACTCTCTGCTCATCTCCATCATTGAGAGCCAGCATCCAAGGAAGAGCCTGGAACTGGCGCATTCCCTGTATTCCTGCTGCTTCCCGAGACGTTTCCCATCAGTAAAGTGAGCACAGTAATTGTGCCTGCCTCTGGTGGTTGCTGAGAGGACAGAGCTTTGGCCCAGAGCCTGAGCAGGATGAGCGCCGTGGAAGCTCACTGCTCTAACTTCTCTAACTGGCATTTTTTGGGCACCTGTCTTTGGTATCTGGGCAGAGCTTAACTATTTTTTTAGCTTGGAATGCTGATATCTCCCTAACAGAACCATATGGGCACATAGATGTTTCTTGAGTTTTTACTAAAACGTATTTTGTTTCGTGATTCATGAGTAGCTTTGCAGATCCCGGGTTATGAAATAGAGCTTTGAATAATGGTGTCTCTGGATGACTGTAGTCTATACCCTCCTCCTCCTGGCTGTTAGCAGTAGCAGGAGGATGAGGAGGAACACGAGGTGAGGGGCCGAGTGGCAGTACCAGTCTGCTCACATGAGTTGGACATACACTTCATTGCGAATTTTCAATCAATTTCCACTTGTTTTTGGATGGTGCAGTTAACTGACATCATGAAAGATAGATAATAGGAAACAGGGCAGTAGCTCTTTTGCAAATGGGAAGGACACTGCAGATGGAAAGAGAAGTAAAAAGAATTAAGATGCCATGTACGTGTACCAGCTGCTCACAAGGAGTGTAATCATGATATGCTTCAAAAATATATTTAAAATGTTGTAAAAGTTTAAAAGTTTTTATGTAGAATGACAATGAAATCAGCCAAACAGAGGACGAATGATCAAGCTCCCTAACTCCTTGTATGACTGTCATCCGTGTGAGTCACTGGGCAGTGGGAACTACCTCTGAGCTGGGCGGCAGAGCTGGCATCACTTTCTAGGCCTTCTGATGACTGCTGCTTCCTGTAGGACACTCAGAACTTGGTGACACTTTCCTTACACCCTTCATGAGGCATCCCTATATTAGGTTGTGGCAAATAGAGCTGAGAAAATGTAAGAGCTGAAAATCTTCTCAAAGGGTGTGCACACCCAGCCAGTGCTTTAACCTGTTGTTATCCTTCATGCATCACTTACAGGGGCTAGATGGCTTTCTAGTTACCAAATTTTTTAAACTCTCTAAAAGGAAACACCTAAGGCTAGCAGAAATTACCTCAGTAAATTTTGTTTGTATTAACCGGCTACTTCTCTAAATGGAAGAAGAGAATGTTGGAAAGTAGTTTCTATAAATTAGCATATTTCTCAGTGAACCAGCAGAGTGAAAATACAAGCCTAGGATTTGGAGTGATGGGATCTGGACTCTGGCTTATCTTCAGCTAGCTGTGGGGTGAGTTTGATTACCTGTAAAGGTCTTCTGAGCATTTATGCATTTTGAATGTGTCAGAGCAGCTGCACGTATTAGTCTACTTCTGCCTCAGATCACCTGGATACCCAAGGCCTTGCCGTGAGAGCAGTAACCACAGGACATGGTGTCAGCATGTCTGTTGGTCTCCTGAATCTGAGTTAGGACTTCCCAAATGACAGTGAGCATCTTCTAATGCATTCCACTGGGCTCTTGTTCGAGTCAGCCAGGAGCTCACTAGGTGACAATTGGAAAGAGGGAAGGACATGGTATGTCCAACACTTACAGGACCTAATACTTGAAAGTGCACTATCAAGCAGTGTACGTACCAGATTGAAAAGGCTTTTGTCTTTATCGTCTACAGTTTATAAGATTTGTTTGTCAGGGAGCTCTTGGTTTGTAACATATGATTAAATAAATATTTAAAATGTTCCCCATGTTTCTGTATTGTCTTCTCTTTTTTTCATTGTTGTTTTTAATTTTAGTTTATTAGTATTTGTATGCAGTATATAATCTTTACATTCTGGGTGGGAAGTTGGTACACGTACTAACATATCTTAATAACTTTTTTTGTCCCCTTTCCCCTTCCCTCTTTCTGCATTCCCTATCTTTTTAAACTGCGCCTGGCTCTACCCCTGAAACCTCAGCAACCTGACAAGTCCTCCCTGACTAACTACATGCTCCCCACCCTAAGGCATGATTCCGTACCACTGTTTGGCAATAGCCGTTAACTAGAGTCTCAGCCAACTAAAGGTCCTATGCACAAGCTTTCCAGCTCCCAGGTCTCCTGGGGATGACTCTCTGTGCTTCATCTTGGCCCTCTGCCTTCTACCCTCCCCACTGCATCTAGCAGCAGGCCCTGGACCTTGGTCTCTTCTTGTAATGAAATATTTTTTAAAGAAAACTAATATTCAGTGAACAGACAACATTAACTCTCTGCTCTCTTCTTTACAGACACGAGACGACTTCCTGGGCCAGGTGGACGTGCCCCTTAGTCACCTTCCGGTAAGGACAGTTACATGCTTTGTGTTGCACGCTGTGGGGAGTGGGTTCTTGCTATTTCTAGCTGTGCATTTGTAGGACAGAATCCCCCAGCCTGATGGAGATGCTGAATGAGGCGCGTGTACTGAGGCCCTTGCTCCTTGCTCAAGAACAGTCCTTCTCAGGGAACAGATAGAGATGCCTGGCTCATACAGGCTGTCCTTGTTCTGCCAGCATCCCCAACTCCCACCTTCTTCGGTCCTGTAGCTCCTCTGCCTTTGCATGTCACACCTTACAGAATGACCCTATCCTCTGTCAAGCCCAACTGATGTCTTTGCTCCCAAATTCATCCTTTGGGTCTAGTTTGATGCCTGGCTCTCTTTGTCTAGAAGTGCACATGCTTGCTTCTCATGGATGCTATACTGGAATTGCCCAGATTTGGGTCTGTGGCTTTCTCAGCATTGAAGAAGATACTGTGTGTGTTCATTGACCTGCTCCTGTTTGTGTCTGCTTAAATGAGCAAAATAGCTAGAGCTGTTGACTGTAGCTGCTGATTGAGGTGTCACCCGCAACCTGAGGCAGTAAGTAGGATGTGGGGTGAGACCTGGAGCCGTGGTGGAGGTAGCTGATCTCATACTGTAGCCTCAGTTTTCTAGGTTGCTCCACCTCTCCTCTTGGCTTTCTTCCCCTGGGCAGCACAAATGCTCATAGCAGAAGTAGTAGCTGAGAGAGGAGAGTCAAATATTTCAGCCTTACAAGGGCACTGTGTTTTTTAAATGCTTTGTGTGGGTGCGAAACGTAAATAGCCCATAAACTAAAATGACTTACACCACCTAGTGCAGCCTCCTTCCTGTAAACCATGGCTATTCCCTGTGTTCCATACTGAGACTACATCTTTCCAAGCAAGCTTTGAGGATGCATTGGGAAGGAATGGGATGGCAAGGAGCTGATTCCTACTCAGGGGAGCTACTAAGGAAGAAAGATTTTAAGAGTATTTCCTTTCAAGAGGTGGGAAGCAGGAGTGATAGGACTAAGATACTTTGTCTCTGTATAAAAACCTGAAGCATAAGGTGCCTTGGGAAGAGAAGTGTGTGTGCCTGCATGGCACTTCTGCATGAGATCAATTGTAAAAGTTGTCAGAAATCTGATTAGTTTTTTTCAGATCCCATTGAGAGCATGTAGATGTCTCATTATCTGTGAGGAATACTCCTCATGTCTTTGCATACCATTAGGTCTTCTATTTATGCTCTGCAGGTCGAAGCTGTAATCATCTTATAGTTTCAGACCATCTTGGTGGGTTGGTCAGTTTTTATGGCTATCTCCAGCAACCCTTTTCCCTAAAAGTCACACCTTGGCAAGAGGGACTATTTATGATTATTTGTTAATCTTTCTAAGAAAAATAAGTGCAAATTTTCCAACTTGCTCTAATAAGTCCTTGTTGGAATGATTTAGTAATGATTGGTTTTGAAAGACGAGGCGTGGTGCCCAGAGAACTGAAGGAGAGACCACGTAGTATCGGGAATAATTCACCTTTGGTTTTGGTTGGAGGTAGGTATGAGGTAGGTATCAGCACTACAAGAGAGTAGTGCTGAGGCCCAGGGTTAGAATTGAAACCAGGGGATATAGCTCAGTGGCACAGGCACCTACCTGGCAAGCACAAGGTCCTGAGTTCCAAGAAAAACAAAACAAAAAAAAAAGAAGTCAGAATTGAAACCAGCCGATTAAAGAGATGAAACAGAGACCACCTGGAGAGGACTAATTTCTCAGACATGAACCAGGTCAGTGAAACGGTGGATCTTCCCACAAAGTAGCCTGCACTGGTATACTATAATCTGGATACTTCAAAGTGACTAGTTTTTTGAGCCAACTGCATTCTGAGAGATGGACCACATATAAAACGAAAGAAATGCATGAAGTTTTATTTATTATTTATGTGATGGTAGAACCCAAGTAGCATTCTAAATGGGCATGGCCTCTGGCCCCAGAATTTGAGGTGCATATTTGATCATGTGTGTAGAGCACTTGTGGGAAAATCGCACAGTGTCATTCACTTGGCGTGATAATGCAGAGGCAAGACTGTAAGTCAGTGAAAACATCTGAGAATGTTTTATGGAGTCAATGATGGATGGTCATTTCCTGATTGTATAACGACCATTGTCAGGTTATATACAGCCTATAGATTCAGTGTTTGTCAGAATCACCAAACTTTAAGTAAGAAAATTAGGAAGGTGAAAGTAGTGCCCCAGCTGTCTCATTAGTAATGAAGGAAACCCCTGGAGGGCAGGAATATGGTGATAATTTTGCCCATCCAGCCCATCCATGCCTTTTTAAGGATCTAGGAATCCGATGGGCAGTATGATTATCGAATTATTTTTATATGGCCCTATCCTCTGCTAGAGAGTTCATTCCTCAGGACATACTTCTTGATGGAGAGGATTCTGGTGTTTGAGGACAGATTGATAGGGCAGATCCCTCCCTCACATGGCCAGGTGCCACTATTGCTGGAACCACATGTGGTACCTAAGCATCTGAAATGTGGGTATGTGATGGAGGGAGCTGAGTTTTTCATTCTGTTTCATTTTAAGTAAAATTAAAACTTAAATCACATGTGGCCACTGACTACCACATTGGGCAACGTGTGAAAATCAGACCAGAGTACCCTTAGGTCAGAAATGTGTGATTCTAAATGAGTGGGGTGATACTCACCTCTAATCCTGCACTCTGGGAAGTTGAGGCAGGAGGATCTTAAGTTAGAGCCCTTCTGGGCAACTTAGTAACTTAGAAAGACCCTATTTCAAAATACAAAAGGGACTAGGGATGTAGCACAGTATAGAGGCCCCAGGTTCAATTCCCAGTACTTACAGGGAAAAAAACCAGTGTGATTCTGCTATCCTCAGATAATTCTGACTGTTGAGGAAAACTATAGGTGAGACAGTTCCCCAACCCACTTGTGTACCTTGGCATATTTTCGTTCTTTCCCGCCACCCCCTCCCTGGGCCTCACCTGGGGCTGTTTCTCTCTCATTCAATACATGTAACATATTAAAAATACTCAATCTAGATAAGAAAAGACCTCAGACTTTGAGACATATAAATAAAAAGAATGTCTTAGTTACTGTTCTCATTTCTGAGACAAAATACCCAACACCCAAAGTTAAGGGAGGAAAGTTTATTTAGCTCACAGTTTGTAAAGGTTTCAGTCCATAATCAGCTGGCCCCAGGGCAGTGTGGCACATGGCGGAGGGGCAACAGTTCATGGCAGCAGAAGACAGCAAAAGCAAGCAAGCAAGGGCAGGAACAAGCCTCTTTCTGTCCCTTATAATGTACACAGACTACCCACCCCACGATGAGGTAGCACTCACACCCTTAATCCCAGCATTGGACCATGAATCAATCACAAGCTCTAGGTTCAGCCACCACTGATAAGCCTGTCTCTCATGTCTGCATGAGGCTTTGGGGGGACATCTAGACACAAACCATAACAGAGAATGTTTTTGTTACTGTTATTTTCCAAATCTCTAGTAGAAAAATACCCAATTGCCCTTTCTTCCATGTTGACATAGATATTCACTTATTTATTTTAAGGCATCTCAAAGTAGGAATGAGGCATTATCTTGTTGCCAAAAATATTACACACCTTTATTCATTGAAGCAAAACCACTATCTGCCCTGCTTCTGGCCTACAAACCTTGTCAGCATCAATTGAAGCTCTTACCTAAATCAGAAACTTGATGGACAAAAATCAAGACAGCAGAAAGGAACTTAGTGTACACTGGTGATTGTTAGAAAATTATTTTTAAGAATTTAAACATTCTATCTTGGGTGTTTTGTGTGTGGGTTCTGAAAATGAAATACTGTTGCCCTCCTGACATCTGCTGAAGAACTTTTCCTCACTGAAATTCCAAAGGCCTGTCGCTGCAGTTGCCAATGCATATTGGTGTTTGCAATATGAAACCTTGCTTTCAAATTCTTAGACTCGACTCTCCTAGGATGTCCCCATCTGCAGCCATAAATTCTCTGACCCAGAGAAGCTTCCAGGCTGACTAGAGGATCAGCACGTCCCTTTTGCAAGTGGGTTCACCAAACAGCACACCCCTAGGTGGGGAGAGACTCACTCACGGCAGCATGAGCATTCTGGGGCTGTGGAGCTGGCCCCTACACCCCTCTGCTGCCCACTGCCAAGAGTTAGACACCTGGATTAATTAAATGCTGTGCTGGGCCTTGTAGGCCATTATGTACAAGTCCAAGTTGGTGCTCTGCCGGGGCAATGAGGAGGAGGCAGCTGGGAGTGGAGGGGGCAGGGAGGGTCATTGGAGCTGGGTGCTCTGCATGCTAGAGAATGCCTCAGTTACCGGCCAGTAGCCAGTGTCATTATTCCTGAGCAGGAAAGGGAGGGAAGGATAATAAGAACAAATCTACTTCTTTTCCCTCTCTGACCATAGGTTCCACAGGGCTTCATACTTATCAGATGCTTCCAAAGGAAAGAACATAATTTTAGAATTATGTTCAGTTTCATTCTTGGCCATGAGAGTCAGCCCTCCCCATTTTATCTGTGGAAAAAATGGATAGGAAATATGATTCAAGTTGTCTACAACAGTAGGGACCTGTATTTCCTTTGTTTCTATTCTGGGTGGTTTGCTTATCTTCAATATTTCTTTTCTGTTTTATTGCACTTTGACAGGAGGAGTACAGGGAAGGGAGAACAAGTAGGATTAGTAGGCTCACCCTTTCTGCTGGTCAGGGAAATAAGGAAACACAAATCCATGCTCTGAGAAGTCTCCACAAGTTGGCCTTTGAAAGATAAGAATCTCACAGACATTACTGGCTTCTATCTGGGAGATAGGAGTTGCCAGGGTAACCTTAACCAAGTTAGTATTCCTTTCTGGGCCTCTGTTTTCCTGTAATGTGAGGGTGCTTGCATAGACAAGACCGACTTTCCATCCAGCTCTGTGATAGAGCAGTGGAACTGTTCCAGTGTTCCCTGATCAGAGGCTTCAGGGCTGTGATGACATATGTGTTACCTAGGAGATGCTGGCAGCTGAACACCAGAGAGGCGTGCAGAGGGGATGGAAGGCTATAATTGAGGAAGGTCCTGCTCCCCTACCAGCCTGTGCCTGGGCTGCCGTTTAGACACAGCTCCTGCCATCTTCTCCGCCAGCACCAGGAGCAGCACCAGCTGTAGCTGCGTGTGATCGTTGGTCATTTTAAACCACCATCTGCATGTTTGCCTGCTCAACTCAGTATAGCATTGCCTAACGTCCATATAGTATGTAATAATTTATATCTAATTATTTTGGGATAAGAAGTAACTACAAGAATAACAACATAACACACAACTACAAGAATTAACAGAATGAAATTGTGACAGGTTACTTGCCTATTGCACCTCGGGACTTTTTCTTGGCTCTTTCTAGTCTCTTGTGCCTGCCCTTCTCTAGAGCCCCCAGCACTCCTACCTCTGCCCAGCCACAGAATTTCTGCATCCGTGGACAGTGTACTGAGGCAGGTAGAGCTATTTTTAAAATGTTAATGTTTCCCATCTCCATCAAATGCTACTTACAGCAGTCATAACTTTGGAATTTTAGTTTTCCTAGAGCAAAGTATTTTTAAAGTGATGCCTAACTATACTTCAGGCTTACCTAGGTGGCCAACATTCTTTCATCCTTCTTATGTTTATGGCTGATGGCAGGAGAGTGATTCCTACTCGTGTGCAGAATCAATATCATGGAGCTTGCGGGGAGTTTAAAGGCACTTACCATTTCTGAGCGTATTTTCCAGGTAAGGAAACCTCAGCCCAGAGAAGTACCTGATTTGTCCAGTGGTCTGCAGGTTGGTGGCAGTGCCAGACCTCCCTTCACTTCCCCAGCATCAGTGTACACCTAGGCACAGTTAAGGGCACAAGAAGCAGGAATAGCCTGAGGCTTGGGAGCTTCTTGTAGTTGTAGCAAGGTAAATTTGGGGATCCAGCAAGGCCTTTCCTCTTCATTTGCCTACAGAATTGTTTATCTCACTCCATGTTAAACAACTGCACTTCTGTGGAAGCAGCTGCTCTCCTTAAGGTGACAGCACTGTGAATCTAAGAGTTTCTTTTGAATTCGTATCCATCTGTTTGCAATACCTTCCCACCAGGAATACGCCCAGTGTCATCCTAGGAATCTCCACTTGGCTTTTCTCCAGGGAACATGATCAGTTTGGAACCTGGATAAGTACCAAGAATAGTCATCTACAGATCATCGTCTTATTCTTGCTAGAGATTTTCCAGCTCCCTGCCTTTTGTTGAACAACATTGAGTTGGCAATTCTCATATAATACAAAAATGTAGAATTGACCAATGATGAAAATGGCCACATTTATTAAGTGTGTCAGCTGCCCTTGTTAGGACCATGGATGGGTTTATCCTCACAGCAATCCTATAAAATCTACTTGCTAGGGCTGGGGGTGTAGCTCCATAGTAGAGGACTTTCGTACCATGCAGAAGGCCCTGGGTTCAATCTCCAGCAGGCATGTGCGAGCACACATGTACACACATACACACAGATTATTGATGAAGACCACAGAGCAAAGAAAAGAGTTAAGGACCTTGTCCCCAGAGCACCTGGCTCTGTAAATAAGAAAGCCAGAGGACAGATCTGGGAGAATCTTCTCTTGATGTGGTATTAGTTTTTTAAACAGATTCATTTCCAGAGCCCTCTGAGCTCTGTGCTCTTCTCTGCTCCCTCTTGCATGGCCTGCTGCTCCTAGGTTCCTCGTGCTGGCTAGTGATTCTGTATGCTTTGCTTGAGCTCTTTGGCTTCCTGACCTGGCACTAACCTTTCTCCCAGTTCCCTGCCTTCCATTATCTTCCCATTCTTGTAGGGTTGTACCACTCACCCCCAAACCATTTTGGTCCTCGAGTCAAAAGTAGTCTTTTCTTTCCATGCTGCATCAGTAAATTCATCTGTAGAGCCTAGTGACTTGTTGATACCCTCCCATATAGTTGTAACACTAAGGCAGGTAATGTGTTATCTCCATGGTGTTGCTCTAAAATTATTTATTAAGTAAATGAGAAAAAGGAGGGGAGACTAGAAATAGTATTCTTAATTACAAAATTTTCCATAATACATGATGTACGTTTGGAAACTTTTTAAATAGCAAATATTCCCAACTATCTAAGTTTGGCTTACTGTCTTAGTAAATAAGTGCAGAGAATATAATAGACTTTTTTCCATGATACTGATTTTTCAGGGCCTTGTTAATTTCTGTAAATCAAATGAATTTATCAACTACTTATCCATGTGCTACTTACTTAGCACTGGGCAGTATTCTTGGCAACAGTAAAACAGTATGAGCAAATTCAAGTCTCTGATCTCACAGGCTTACATCCTAGAACTGATGGATGGTAAACTGGTAAATAAGTAAATGAATAAGGTAATCTCAGGTAGTGATAAAGGAAGATAAAGAACAATGATATGCTAGAGTGATGAGTATAGGCTCATGATGCCAGATTAGTATGGGAACGCTGATGGTGAGATGCAAAGTGGAGACAGCCATGCTGTGTGCAGTCAGCTGTCCAGCAGAGGGACCTGCCAGTATGTGGGTCTGTAGCAGAATTAGATGTGATTTGCACACAAGACAGATGAGGCCAGAATGACGGGAGTATTCTGGAGAGTATGAGGGAGATCAGTTCACAATGAGGTTAAAGGTAAGGAAAAGCCAGGTCATATATCTTGTAGGTCAAAGGAAGGAATTTTCATTTTATTCTAAGAGAAGTAAGAAGCCAGTGGAAGGTAAAAGCAAGGAGTAACATAAATAAAATAACATTTCAAGTATAAGTGATACAGTAGGTCATTGTGCTGTGGTCTGTCTCTCTTGCTACAGAAGTTAAGTACTTTAAGTTGCATTCATTTGAAGAGTCTAGGTATTTGAAGTTGAACTATGTATAGTATTTAAAATAATAGTAACACTTATATTTCTAGCTCCTTTCTTTGTTGGGCCATCCATTTGTGCAATAAAATGAATACTGATTTCTTTTACATGGGAATAAATATCCCAGTTTCACACAGAGTTTCACAAGCCCCAGCTGAGGGTAGTTGGTAGTACTTCCTAGACAATCTCTGTGCAGCAGATATCTGTTATTTTATTTAGGTAAATGACATGATAATTTAATGTGAGAAATAAAGTTGCCTTCAAGAACTAGATGTTGAGGGGCTGGGGATATAGCTCAGTAGCGTAAGCGCCTGCCTGGCAAGCGCAAGGTCATGAGTTCGATCCCCGGTACCACAAAAAAAAAAAAAAAAAAAAAAGAACTAGATGTAGGGAGTTCTGTTGACTCCTAGTTTAGATTTCTGAAGTGTCAGGGATAACAAAGCATCAGTGGCCACTGCTTCTTCAAAGCTAATGGGTTCCATAGGACTGAGGCTGCACCCTGCAGTTAGAAAATTACACTTGGCAGTGGCAACTATAATTTTGTCATTTGTCTGTGGCTGGGGTTGACTCCTAAAACCTGATGTGGACAGTGACATCTAGTGGATCTTAAGTAGACAAAGCCCCATGGCCTATCAGATGTTTAATTAATCATCGAAAGTAATTGAAGAATCAACTCCATTTTCACCCTTGCCATGTTCTGAAATACAGAAAGGTATCCCGTATAATCTGGCTTGGTGTTTCTATAGTACAAAATTGTCAGGAATATTGAGACGTAATTTACTGTTTCTTTCCATAGACAGAAGATCCAACCATGGAGCGACCTTATACATTTAAGGACTTTCTCCTCCGACCAAGAAGGTGAGAGTGAGAGGGTGGACAGGATAGGGGGAGGCAGCTTGCGAATGTCAGGTATTGGTTTTTCTGAGGACAGTTTCATCAGTTGCCATAAAAAGGAAGGGTGTAAGCAAGTTATATCTGTTATAACCAATTTTTTTCCTTTGTGCAGTCATAAATCTCGAGTTAAGGGATTTTTGCGGTTGAAAATGGCCTACATGCCAAAAAATGGAGGTCAGGATGAAGAAAACAGCGAGCAAAGAGATGACATGGAGGTAGGTGGGAGAGCTGCAGGCCCGGGCCTGAGCATGTATTTCTGGCTAAGACCTTACTCACTCATATTCCAGCGTGAGATTTTGCATTGGAGAAAGTTAAAAGTTTGTGAAGTTAATATGAAAGGACTTACATTGCCCTGAATGTGTCTTTGATAGTCTACCCAGTGTGTGTGTTTCAGTGAAAAAGTTTAACTTTTCATTTTCTGCTGCAACACTAATAACTGGGGAGAGTGCTCCTTAGACAGTACAGAACATCTTGTATCAGCAGCCCCACCACCCACAAAATTATCCTCATACACCTGAGGCTGTTCCTGCGTTGGACTTCCAGCTCCTTGTAAGTGCCATTTAGCACTTGAAATTGCTCCGGAGTGGATATGACCATTTAGAAAATCTCTCCCCTTTTCCGAGTTGTTTGATCCACAGGTGAGAGCATACATTAGAACAGCCCCCCTCTGGAAAGGCCTCCTTGGAATTAGCTCTCCTGGAACAGCAGCCTCTTAATTTTCTTGTCATATACTGTATTTGTATTGTGGGTCCCTTTATACCTTCTCAGCACATGCTGAGACAGTGCTTTTAAAAAAAAAAAACATGTTCTTTTAACATTTGGAAAGCATCTGTGGAACAAGGCCTCTCCGTGGCTGTTCTCACATCTGTTTGCAGCTGTCGCATATATGTGATATGTGAATAATGTGTTGTGGACAGGTTTACCAAACCCTCTCCAACCAGGAGGCCACTGTTCCAGGCAGTGCCCACTGTGGGCTCACAGCTCTGCCCATGTGACAAGGGCTGAAGTGGGTGGCAGGCCATTGTGGAGACTGAGATTTCATGAGCACAGCAACAGATTTTTATGTCAAATCCAAGGAATTTTTTACACTCATCTTGCCTTCCAACTGCAGTAACCAGTGAATTACTTAATTTTCCAGTGACTTTACTAGGGGATGTTAGAAAAGCAATACTTAATGCCTAAAGTATGCATTGTAAAGTGTAACTCTAACCCTGGTACCGTGAAGCCTCTTTGTGTGCAGAGCCTAAGTAGCAGTGGCAGCAGCTTTCAGACTTCTGGCCCCTGGGATCATAGCAGACGCAGAGTGGAGGCTTTACCTCCTCGCATTCCATCCTCAGGACCAGCCTGTGTGGAGACACCAGAACTCTGAGGCCCCCTTCACCCGTACCATGCTGTCTATTAGAACACATGTGTGCACGACACATCTTACCTTGAGATGCTGATGGGACAGCGGCTGCAATGTGGCCCATGTTGTTGGCACAGCTTTCTACGGCCCTGAAGGGCCTCAAATCATACTGACAACATGAGATATGAAAGAGTACAATGAGTCCTAAGGCCCTTCACCGACTGCATATCCAAACCCACAAAGCTTCCCCCAGTGTAGTCCTCCTTAGCAAGTGGTACAATTAACTGACCATTGCTCAAAAGATTTTTGAGACCTGAAAGTGTTTGTGTGCCCTTTTGGGGGAATTTATTCCAGTGTGGCACATGAAGCCACTGCAAGAACCCAGCAGGGCATGAGAGAGCAAAGCAGGACATGCAGAACACATTGTCATTGTCTTTCTCCCACTGTCTGCAGAATCACCCTCATAATCTTCCACTTTTATTCCACAGCACGGGTGGGAAGTTGTTGACTCCAACGACTCAGCTTCTCAGCACCAGGAGGAGCTTCCTCCTCCGCCTCTGCCCCCAGGCTGGGAAGAGAAAGTGGACAATTTAGGCCGAACGTACTACGTCAACCACAACAACCGGACCACACAGTGGCACCGACCCAGCTTAATGTGAGTATCCCAACGGCAGGAACACCTGGTCAGCTCTGCAGTTAGAAGTGAGTTCAAGCCGCTCTGCGACAGGCTGGGAAGTACATCTGGCATCCATAAGGCGGGTGGTTCCTCTTCTCTGGGGTACAGTGTGAGAGCAGTCAGAACTTGTGCATCGGGAGGAAGAGGCGAGGCCTTGTGCCTGTACCCACTGTCATTTGCAGGGTGAACTGCATTGTTCCATGTATCTTATTCATAGATTCTGACCTCTGTTGTTCCAAGATTTGTGTTTGGTGATTTATTGCTCTGTTCTCCTTCAGATTCCTTCCTGACTGACCCAGGATAGAAAAGAGCAACGAAAATTGGCTTTTCAATTTTCTGTTTTCTTTATGTTTCTGAATTTCTGTTTCTTTTAATTATTTGATTTACAGACACTCTCAAAAGCTTCTTTTTTCCTTTTTGGGAAATGTATATATTACCCCCTGGATATAATTAGAAGCACATAGGGGGTTTGCAAAGTCAGAATTAGTGATTACTGTTCGTTTGTTTATTTTCATTGTTCACCAGCCTCAGAGATGCAGTGAGCCAAGCAGTGTTTTGCTCCCTCACAGAGAAATCCTAGTCAAACCTCAACTTCTATAAACAAGGTTTTGAAGGAGCTTGCTATTAAGTCATATTGTCTAGCTCGGTCAAATCTACTGATACAGTAAGAGACAAAACCGAAGTACTAAGGAAAGGAAATATTATCCTACAAGTTACAAGCTTCCTAGTAGCCAAGACAAGGAGGGTAATTATCGATTATACATTATATATTACTATATAATTTTTTAATATGCAATAAATGCAAGTGTAGTGGGGGAGATAATTTTCTCTTCAATCTGAATGGAAAGAAATTTGCTAATTCTGCATTTTAAACAGATAGTATCAGTAGTATGCTGGAAAGTGTTCTTATAAACCCATTATTGTCGGGAATTGCAAAGATATTCCACATATGACTGGGTGGGGAAAGTGGCCAAGTCAGCTGGAGTGGGTTCTATTTAATGTGGAGGTAAGACTTGTAGACTCTGGAGCACGAATTACCAGTCCTCCCTGAGCTATTCTGGTGGCAACCAGCCATCCTTGTCCACTTAAGACCACCTAGCATGGCTGTTATTGCCCCCCAGGAAAGCGTAAGTATCAGGACGTTACGGTAATAAATCTACATGGAAATGGTTTAACTGATACTTTTTATTATGTTTTACTGTTTCTCTGTCATTAGTGATCACAGCTATTAACAGTGTGGTAAGCCACTTTGACTACTCTAGCTATTTGTAGTAAAAATGACTTCGGATCACCTTGGGCCTGATTGCATGCTCGGTGAGAAGAATGGTGGTAGCAGTGTCCTAAAAGCACTATTGCCTGCCTTTGCTAAGCAGCACGGGAAGGACTACCTAGAAAGGCTGGGCTCTGTGGTAGCCACAGTGTCGGGCGGCCTCTGCGGAAAGGCATCCAGAAACAAATCACAAAAGAAGAACTATTAATCTCTGAATATATTAAATGTATTATTGAAATACTAATCTCTGAACATAGAGGGAAAAATGTTCAACTTCATTCATGAGTACCATATAGAGTGAAGTCTGTCCTCTAGGGAATAAAGGACAATTGCTACTTTCGTGGCCTCAGAGTTAAGAAACTCCAGTGACAGAATTCTGAGAAAACACTTTACGTGTCTTTAAATATTCTGTCTTTATGATTTCGTGTGGTTTCACAGTTGCACGCTTATCCCCAGACTCTTCAAGATGTGTCCATTAAATAAGTACAACTTTTTATGTGTCAACGATACCTTAAGAACAGGGTCTTTTTAAAAATACTGTCATTGGTGGCGGTGTCCCAGAGAACCAAGGCAAAACCAAAGATACACGTTATACGATAGTGGCTCATCATGACTCCAGAAGCAACGAGGAAAAGCAGGTCTTAATACAAGTTCAGGTTGACATGTGGTTTAGGGAGAAGTTAGTGACATGACTGTCCCCATCCATGAGACACAGTCACAGGGAGAGACTGAACCACAAAGACGTCAAAAGAGCTTGATGGAATGCAAGAACGCCCTCATCTCCACAGGGCGTGGCTTCTAGAAAGCAAAAGAAAAGTTAGATGGCGGCCACGCTAGCACCTCTTGCCCTCTGCACTTTTGTGAGTTTGGGGTCTTTCTCTTTAATGTTATTTTGCTTGGCCAAAAACCATTGGGTCTCCAGAACTATGATTAAGAATTGTGTTAACTCAAAAGTAGATTTTTTTCATAATTCAGTTTTCACAGAATACTGCATCGTACTTCAGAAGGAAATTGATGTTGTTAGAAAATACATTAACTGACAGGTTATCTGAGGAAATCATAGCAATTACCATGTGCTAAGCAAAGCGTTTAAGACGTCCTCAAAGACTCTTCGTTCCTGCCCTCTTTGCTACAGACTTGTACCCTAAACCTCAATCCACAGAAAATAGGTGTTTGTTTTGTCTTTGACTTTCCCATGCTCTCAGGATGTTTCTGCAAAGTCCTTCTTCACCCAGGTCTCCTGCCGGAATTCATCCAGTGGCGCTATCACCGCGCCTTCTCCTTCTTTCCTCTTGTTGCTGGGTCCTGAGGGTAGCACCCCAAGCCAACAAGAACCAAGAGTCTAGTGCATGCCCCTTTCCAGCTCAGCTGACAGGCCTTCCTCTTCTGTCCAGCTGTCCCAGGAGCCTTTGTACCTGACTAGTCAAGGCGTAGAGCACAAAGTCTTCTCTTGCCTGTTAGGACTATATTTCCTTATTTATAGATCTAGCCCTTGTGCCTGGCACAAAGTAGAAGCTGAGCAACCTACATTTTTAAATGAATGGTTGAGTACAGGAGCCACTTACGGAAGTGGTTTTAGGTACATGGTGTGGCACACTGTCTAGGCCTGGACCCAGACCTTTAGCAGCAATGGCTCTGGAGCCCCTCATGCCTGCCTGTTCAGTTGTGGTGATGGCTTTTAAAACAGCCCTAATCATAGAATTTTTAAAATCTTACCAAAATGTAGACTGCAAGTTATCTGTGTAAACATAGATTTTTAAACAGTAAACAAATTATCTTGTGACGTTCTGTAAGTGAAAATAAAGTTGTTAAATTGAAGCCCTTGCTTTAACCCTTTTTATTATAAATATTTTCTATATCTGTTTAGTAGTAATTTAATAATCATCTCTGCATGGTTCAGAGCAACACTGCAGTCACACTGAATGGGGAATAAAAATTATCTGACCCACTGATCTCAGTTGGCACTGACCTTGATTTCAAGGCAGCTTGCTCTACTGTTACTCTTGTCACTTGTGTTATTTCTCTTGAAAGTCAAATGTAGACATACAGAGCTAATGACTAAAGGAAAACTGAAGTGGCCATTTCTTAAATTACTTTGTGGCCCACAAATAAATCATCGTTTATTTCAATTGATCAGGTCATAAATTATTATAAGTGGCCATCTTCCCAGTAGTGACCATTTAAACTTTTAGTGCATTTCAACAGCCTGCTTATTTGCTCAATTAAATGAAAAGAGCCTCCCTGCTGTGAACATTGTCACCATGTAAGTCCTGGTTAAAATTTCAACACCAGAATTATTTTGCTTCTGAAACTGTTTAGTTGTTTCTGCTTCACACTGATTACTGATTATGTGAGCTTGTTTAAGGAAAACTGCCATAACTGATTTTAAACCCACTTCTGTCGTTAAAAAGTCAATCCTGGAATTGTGACTTTTGTGTATTTCTGAAGAATGTGAGGTGTAGATGTAGTAATATTAAAGTCTTACTCTTCACTACTTCTCACAGTCCTTGTACTTGTAATAATTCAGTATGCACTTGCCCTTCAGGGCCTGGCACGTAGAGCTGTGTACAGGTTATTCCCTCACTGTGACTGGGTGATAGCCACAACTGGCATTTCAAGGAAAATTTAAAACCTTCATAAAACTCAGAGATCCGAAGTACTGTCAAGTGAAATTGCTTTCATCCTTAATAAAAAGTGAAAGAAGGTGCCATATTGCTTCCTTTGCCACCTTGCTCTACTGTATTTATTTACATACTTTATATTCTCATCATTTTCCTTCCAAGTTGTTTGTTGTTGTTGTATAGTAATTGTTTATATTTTACAATCAAGTGTACTTAAAAATCAAATGTCATAAAAATTACTACAGCAACATAAAATCACAAATACAGTAGCTAGCATAATCAGTAATGTCAGTTTTAGTCATTCTGGTTTTGTACTATAATAAGATTTATCAATGAGCCAAGTGTGGTGGGGCACGCCTGTAATCCTAGCACTTGGGAGACTGAGGCAGGTGGATCACTGTGAGTTTGAGACCAGCCTGGGCTACAAAGTGAGCTCAAGGCCAGCCTGAACTGCATAGAGAGACCCTGTCTCAAAAAGCCAAAAATAAATAAATAAATAAAGATTTATCAATGTACTCAGTTTTAATAATTTCATCTATGATCATATTAATCGGTTTCCTGAAGCTATCACCAGTGTACTATTGTACTGTAATTATATTTAATATAATAAAATATGCAGAGTAAACATTTTAAAGGTGCGAAAAATTTGTATGATTGTACAAACAATAAATTTTATTAATTCAAACTTAAATAATAAGGAATTAGAATTTAAATGTGGATTAAATAGAACTTCACCTTCACGCTATCTGCTTTACCAGGAAAGTTAGTAATGTAAAGAATATTTGATTGGAATACTTAACTATTTAGGTAGCTAGTGTCCAAAAGTCAACCGTTGACTTGAAATAGTCTTACATTAGTCTAGGCTTACATGGACTTAGGCGGTGACAGTGTCACAGAAGGGAGGCCCTTTTCATTCAGTTAAGCAAGCAACTAGTCTAATTAGCTACACTGGTTCATTTAATTAAGCAAGTTCTTTTATTTGGAATATAATGTAAGTTAGAGACTGTATGGAAATTTTAAAACTTCATTTTAGAAAGTATACTTAGGGTTCCTGATTAATACTGTATTTTACTTTGTCTAAAATAACCTCAACTATCTGGAAACATTAACGTGAAACATAATTTCCTCTAACTCCACATGGGGCTTTAGTGAAAGTGCCCAGAAGTGTCATGAAAAATATTGTGGCATTTAAACTTCTACCCTGACCGCCTGTTTCTCCCAAAGTGTGATCATCTGTAATACACTGCAAAATGTTTTCAAGACTAAGTTGGTGCATTCAGATCCTGAATTGGGAATGTTACGTCACAAAAGTATAGCTCATGACTTTTGCAGTTACAGTGTTTGTCAAATGCAGTTGGTTGGAGAAGTTCACTCCTAGTGTTTATTTGGATTTTTAAAAGTAGTAGCTTTGTGGGGAAGGAGGAGTCAGTAGTGCGATGGTGAGATTTTGTCACAATGAGATAGAAAGCAGTTGAGAAAAATCACAGTGGTTCAGGAGTGCTTTCTTCCAGATTGCAGTCTTGAATTTGCATGGTTTGTAGTCTTTGATCAATTATGACAAATACAGCATTTTTTTTGTCATTGGTGGATTCTTTAAATAAATTGCACTATACTGAACCTCTATGGACTTCTTTCTCCTGTCATTATTCTCTAAAAGACAGTGTAGGGCCAGGGATATAGCTCAGCAGCATAGCACCTGCCTGGCAAATGCAAGGTCATGAGTTCCGTTTCTGGTAGCAAAAATAAATAAAAAATAAAAGGCAATGTAGCAGTTTTTCATAACGCACTTACATTGTATTAAATTCTTTCGGAAATCCAGAGATGATTAAAGTATACAGGAGGTCATGTGTGTTCTATGCAAACACTGTGCCATTTTATGTGAGACCTGAGCATCTATGAGGAAGGTGAGGGGATCCTGGAACCAATCCCTGTATATACTGAGGGAGCTCTATGCATGCCTGGAAGCTGCACTGAAAAACTGCTTTTATTTGATTGAAATGAACCTGGCATTGTAGCATAGCTCAGATAGACAGCGCAGATAGAGTGCTCAGATTTGGTGATCAGGGTGAGGGTTGGACGGCCGGGACTGAATATCGCTTCTGTTCTTGCACCCCTTCTGCCAACCTCAGGGATGTGTCTTCCGAATCAGACAACAACATTAGGCAGATCAACCAGGAGGCTGCACACAGGCGTTTCCGCTCACGCAGGCACATCAGTGAGGACTTGGAGCCCGAGGCCTCCGAAGGTGGAGAGGGCCCTGAGGTACGGTGTCCCCGGTGCCCCTTCCGACTCAGAGCCCAGTCTTTCCTTGGCTCAGAGGGTTACTTTGCACTGTGATTTCATTTCTCAGTAAAGCTTGTCTAGAATGTAAAGATCGTGGTCTTATAGCTAAATGATTACTCAGTGGGTGTTACTTAATTTAGAAGGTGCTTATAAAAGCCATGTTTGACAAGTATAGTGGCCTTTTATCACTACAGAAGCAATGGGCACTATTTCTAGTATGAAAATCTTGAGACATTTTCACTTTGTAATTTATTTTTCCTCAGGGTCTAGCCATATCCTTTTTTTTCCCCACATACAGCTATTCAGAAATTCTTTTTTTTTTCTTTTACAATCAGATTTTATTGGTACAGTTTAGGTGTATATGACAATCATATTCATCGTAGACAATTTTTACCTGTACATGATATAACTTGTTTCTTTTTTTTCCCCCGTTCCTTTTCCCTCCCTTTAATCCCTCTCCCTTCCCTGTTTACAGAAGCTTTGTTTCCATTTTTTCCTTCTTTTCTCATTTTACTTCTCCCTTCTTTCCTTCCCCGCCTTTCCTCGTTCTCCTCCCTATTTGAATATTTTTTCTTATTTCACAATACCTATTACACATTTTTGTCTTTATTTACACTTTTGGTTTCTCAAACCAGAGAAACAATGTGGTATTTATATGTGTATCTGATTTATTTCAGTTAAGAATATGGACTCAGGTTGCATCTATTTACCTAGAAATGTCTCAGGCTTATCCTTCTTTATGGCAAAGTAGTACAGTATGCCACTGTATAAAAAAAAACACATCTTCTTTATCAGTTCACTAGTTGATGTGCATTTGGACTGTTTCCAAGGTTTAGCTATTACAAACTGTGCCGCTATAAACATAGGTGTGCATATATCACTGGTATGATGCTTTTAATTCTTTTGGGAAGGTACCAAGAAGGGGAATAGCTGGATCAAATGGAACCTCTAGGCCTAGTCTTTTTTAACAATCTGCACACTGATTTCCACAGTGGTTGCAGCAGTCTACACTTCCACCAACAGTGCTAAAGGGTTCCTTTTTCCTCACAGACCCACCAGCACTTGTTATTGGTTGATTTTTTGATACTAGCCATTCTTTCTGGGATGAGATGGAATCTCAGCATTGTTTTAATTTGCAGAATAAAGATAGAACCTACAGAGTGGGAAAAAATTCTTGCCAGCTGTTCCTCAGGCAAAGAATTACTATCTGGAATATATAAAGAACTCAAAAAAGATTAGACTCCCCCAAATTTAAAGACCCAATCCAAAATGGGCATCTACAATGAGTACACACCTCTCAATGAAGTAATAGAAATGGCAAATAGATATATGAAAAAATGTTCAACATCACTGTTCATTCACAAAATGCAAACTAAAATAACCATGTCTTATTAAACAACAAGAATAGTATCGTATTTGAGCAACTGAATGAGCCTTATAACTTATTTGTCTCACAGGCAAGTTTTTACTGAGTTATTTTGATGTATTGAAAAAGATTCATTACCAAAAATACAAGTGTTTGTAATTGCCCCTTTAAACAATTATGGTACATTACTGAAAAAGAATGTGAATTAAACAAATCATAGTCCATGCTATCTTTACAACTCCATGCAGTCACTAGATCAGTTCTTTTTAGACATTGTATGAGCAAGATCTTTCACAAATGTTGCAGTGATCAAAATTAGAAAACCAATTAATGATACCACAGCCACGAAAATTTCAGTGCGTAATTACATCTTAGTATCTGTACTCTTTTCACTATAAATCCTTAGCAGTCAAAGTAAAAAAAAAAAGCCTATGAAAATGATTTCTAAACTCCTGAGAATACTGCTCTAACCCAAGTATATAGTAACAAATGCTGGCAATAAAGGAGTGAGAAACACAGCCTCAGGACCCAGACCTCTTAGCTTCATGTCACAGCCCTGCCACCACTAGCTCTCTCATCTTGGGCAAGTTATTTTCTGCGCCTCAATTTCCTCATCTCTTAGTTGGGACAGTAGTCATATCTTCCTCATGATTACCGCAAAGATTGTGTGCTTCATGGTAAGTGCTGACTAGATGTTAATTACAGTCATCTTCGTGGTTATTGTTGTTATCTGTTTTTGTTGAGGGGAGGATGGGAGGATCCTCATTTCCTAGCATTTACTTCAGCATCTCTGTCCTTGGAAGCCTTGGGAGACCATTTCAGAAGAAGTGAATATGGCTGGAGACTCCCTCGGTCTGGCTCTGCCTCCACCACCATCCTCCCCTGTGTCTCGGACCAGCCCTCAGGAGCTGTCGGAGGAGCTGAGCAGAAGGCTTCAGATCACTCCAGACTCCAATGGGGAACAATTCACTTCTCTGATTGTAAGTGATGATCTCATTTGAAAGAAAAGCTAAGCAATGGTCTATCATTTCTTGAGAGTTTTGTATATAAATAACAACCAAGGGTTATCTAGCAAGCTGACATTTACTGAAGTTCCCCCTCTCTAGGAAAAACAGGAATATATTAAAATTAGCCCAGGCTGGTGGTAATCTTAATTTGGAAAACAGCAGTGTGCTACCAACTCTTTTTCTTGATTTGTAAAAAAGCTATAAGGAATAAGATACCACTTCTGTGATTACTAGCTTTGACCTTACAGAATTTCTTTGCCAGCCAAAAAACCTTATAAAAATAGTGCCTTCATCATGAAAGTTGTATTCACAGTAAGAATTTGGAGCCTTTCAAACTCCTGACTAAGCTTCTGAAGTCCTATTCTGCATACCCTATGGTTCTATTTCACAGATAAGGGCAGGTGCTTACATTGCTCATCCAAGACAAGGGTTTGAATAGGAGGCCGAAGGTACCTGCTAAGTTCCAGAGTGTGAGTCCTTGAGAGAGGGTACAAAATTGTGGCACTGACATGAAAATAGCATTCGTTTTTGGAAACAGGTTTACAACCATTGGAGATATACTTTCTAGAAGCTTCAGATGGGATTGAACCCCAGTGAGAGGCAGTGGAATCATTCATGAAGAGCTTTGCATTTGACAATACAAAACTGCGGAAAAGGCCCATAGCTAATTCCTGCATGCATAGAATTAAGAGCCAATACATAACAGTGTTTCCTGAGAATTGAACTTAAAAATCATAATGTAATAAATGATGGTAGTCTTTTCACTGGAAAAAGTATCATAGAACTAGTAGTCACTGTGAGCATATTGAATATAAATGACAGTATGACTACATAAAATATACAAGCCAAGCAAGTAGTCACAAAGTTGTTACTCCTTTGGAATGGTGTTTTCATTTTAAAAGACTCCATGGGCCTATGTAATGTGAGTGGCCCCAGATTACTTGTTAATGTGGTTTCACATTAAAATTCTATAAACTTTTTTCAAAAAGAAAATGGCACTGAGATGGAAATTTTATAATAAATGAACAGGAAAAGAGTTGCATGTGTGAGCTAATTTGAATTGGTGAAATTGTTGCTATGGAAACAACATAAGCAACAAAGCCATACATTTTAAAACTATAAAAGCATCACAGAAACCATAGCAGTTATATACCTTTAGTCAACCAAGTGAAAAAACTGTAATTTTCATCAGCATTAATATTAAATTAACAGTTCTAGTTATTTGCATAGGGAGCTTATTGTATTTAATTACTCTAGAAGCATAAAATATCCTTAGGACCCAAGTGCAGTATTGTATTATTTTCCAGACTATGTTAACTGTTAAAATGGCTAGGGAACCCTGCTCCAGTTTTGCTGCTTAGGGCCACTCTGTGAACTGTTACCCAGAATTGCCCAGGAGTAGTTCCCATCATCACTGCAGAGTTCTTCTCAGACATTTTCTCATTTTACTGTTATTGCAAATTGTTAAAAACTAGTACACACTACAGGCTTATACCATGCATCAGCCTGTAATCAGGGGACCTTTGACCTGTCTGGGATCTCCATTCAGATCTATTAGGCTGTGTTTCACCACATAGAATACCAACAAGTGAGAGGATATTACACATTACACACTAGTCTGTTTTTAGATTAACCTCACTATTTTCCTTCTTCTTTTTCTATGCTACGTCAACTCCACTCAGAAGCTTTATAAATACCCTCTTTCAGAAGTAGAACAGGATGATTTCTGAGTTTTCTTGGACATAGAATCCAACTAATTCTTTATCAGCTGTGGATAAATTGAATAGCTGTTTCTTTTTGCTTTTTCGTATCACTGTTTCTTTTTGCTTTTTCCGCTATTCTTATCGTGTTGGGATTTCCCCGGAGCTGACATCCTAAGCAGAGTACAAGACTGCTCACCTCTGATTGGTGATTGCAAAGCAGCTCTTGAGTATGGCAGGGGCTTGTCGGTTTTCCTTTCCAGGAGTTTTGGTCTCCATCTCCATCCCTCCCACCACCCCCATTTTTTTCCAGTACTGTAGATTGAACCCAGCGCCTTTGCACTGAGCAGAATCCCCAGTCCTTTTGTTATATTTTGAGACAGGGCCTCAAAAGCAGGGCTCAAATTTGTGATCCCTCTGCCTCAGCCTCTCAAAGTGCTGGGATTACAGGTGTGCATCACTGCACTTGGCTTCTTCTTTTTGTTGTTCATTCTAAGAGCCATTCAAAATCCAGTTTCCAGTCTGCTGGAAACACTGAGAATTGAAACAGAGGATAGCTTGACTCTCATTGCTCTGAAAAAATGTTTCATTTAATAGAGCTGGGCCTTGTGGTACACACACCTGTAATCTCAGCACTGCGGGAAGCTGAGGCAGAAAGACTGTGAGTTTGAGCATAGTCTAGGCAACTTAACAAGACCTTGTCTCAAATTGAATAACAAAAGAGGACTAGAGATACTGTTCAGTGTGAAAGTCTAGGGTTCAACCCCCAATATTTAAAAAAAAGGAATGCATAAGATTATGATTTTTTTTTTTTTTTAACCAGTGGGACTCGTTTCTCGGAATGTGCCTCTTGACACCTGCTGTCTTTTCTTCCCCTCCAGCAGAGAGAACCCTCCTCCAGGTTACGGTCCTGCAGTGTCACCGACACAGTCGCGGAGCAAGCCCACCTACCACCGGTAACCTATGTTCACTTCCAGTTACCAGCTGGCTTTTCGGCTTTGATGTAAAATCTTCTGGGCTTCTAAGAAAGAGTTTTTCCTGCACACATCCATTTAACAAATAAATGAGACATTTTAAAAATTTCCTAGCAAATTTGCTCAAGGAGAATAGATCTCCAAGACAGAGAACTGTTATTGCCACCAGGTCTCTGAGATGCTGAACACCTCATTGTTTTGAGTTTTTTCACCCAAATTTATACCTAACTTGACTGAAGCTACTTAAGCATTTATAATTCTTGTACTTTGTTCAGTCACTTTAGTTATGCTCTGGTGAGCTGGACGCTGAAATCTCAATGGTCCCTGCAAGCAGGAAGAATTCTTGGCAGACACCTTGTGCTCCTTTCCGCTACCAGCAGCCTAAATTCTCAGCTCCACGAAGCTGCTGCACTCTGTCTCTTTAAAGGCAGCTCTACGAGTGAGGAATTGGCTATAATTCGTTCTCACTCTCCCACAGTTGCGGTAACTATCAGCAGACACAGAAGTGGCCGAGGGTTTAATAATATCCAGTATATATAAAAATGAACATTCAAATTGGAAAGCACACCAGCACTGCCTTGGGAAATGTTTGATGTACACGTTCAATTTGATACATTGACTGGGTTTTTTATTGCTACAAATCCTTAATTATTTTTCTCACATACTTTATTATTTATGAATTCAGGGATGGGAGGAGTGCATTTAAAGTCTTTGAAGCCAATATCTTTCTGGTGCTGTACATTTTTACCTGGCTTTAATGGGTATTTTTTGCCTCTGTTTTAGTTTTTTGTGTTTCAAAAATGAATTAATGAGTATACTGGTCAAGATAGTAGATTCCATTGCGATTTACATGGAGTGGAGTGGTTAACAATAAGCTTGAAGAGACTGTCTTTTCTGGGATGGGGTCAGCGAAGGCCTCCACTACCCAGGCAGAACAATCAGTGATAACAAATTGGTGGATTCCTTCTTAGCATAATGATTCTGTGATTTTCCTTGATGAATTAATGGCACTTTCTCTCCTTTTCAAAATCAGTGTCAGTTTTCTTTGCCCAACAGTTTATTTTCATAAGAATGGTGATTCCTCTCTCTGCTCTTCTCCCATACAATGCTCTGAGCTCATGGATCACCAGCGGCCTCTTCCCTGAGTTTTTTTAGATTTATGAATGTGCTAATTATTGGACAATAGGGGCAAAGCCAACTGGCTTCCCATTTTTGTCTTGTAAGGTATCTCACGTTGGTGAGGTTGTTATTATTCACCTACTTAAAGGGTCCAGCCCTCTTTGTGTTGGCTTGGGGACAGGTAGGGGATCCTGCCTCTCTTTGGCCGCTGGTCATCAATGTCTGCTCATCTTTGTTTGGACATAATGTCAGGGATTGTGATCTCATGCCACGTACCTTACGGTGCTGCCACAGCCGTGATTCCTGATTCACTAAGCAGTGGGTTGACCCTTTGATACATTTTACTGACATCAATTATCATTTAACAGCCCAGTGCCCCAACTAGGAGAGCGCGTTCATCAACTGTCACAGGTGGTGAGGAGCCAACGGTAATGACACATTTTATTAGGCATTAATGGCAAAAGTCGGCGGGGTGGTTTAATGTTTTGATTAATGCTGAATACACTCTCTCCCTCCTTTAAATGGAGATTGGCTTCTTTGTGCTTCAGAAGGACACATATTTCCTGTTTTAAACTCATTTTCAGATTGTTCAAAGGTACCAAGTAAAATGAAATAATTTTTAGTACCGTATAATTTTATTTGGAATATCATCAGGCTTTGGTTAAGTGCATTAATCATTTAGAATATATGTTTACCTTTTAGCATTTGTACTTCTGTAAGCTTTTCCTTGTCATTAGAATTCTTGATTAAGATAACATGGTTGGAGGATAACCAGCAAAACCACAGGAATCACATGAAAATATACGGGAGTCCAGCTTGTGCCCGGTGTTGGTCTCTCCTCCGCATCTCCCACACCACATTTTTAAACAGGGCGCTAGGCTTTCTCTGCAACCAGGGGCTTGACTCACAGGAATTGCATGTGTTCAAATGATTCTTAAGATGGGGGAGCATAATTAAAATACTTAAATGGTCCAGAAAAATACTGCAGACCAAATGTCTGTTACTGTTCTATTTGATGTTTTGAATAATTTATAGTATTCATATGTATGGTGACTTAGATTTGGCTTTATATTTTAATTTTCTCTGTTCGCCTTGATCCCTGAAGTCAGGTGAGCTTAGTTTAAGCTTTGAGCATGATAGCTAATTGAAGAATTTTCCTTATTGTTCCATCTTGGTTGCTTTTGCTGTAACTGCTTATTACTTTGTGAATAGCTTTAACTACACATACAATAGCTGATTTTCTGAAGGATGATGATTTAAAAGAATAATTTAGATATACTGTCAGAATTTAGTGCTTAGCTTTGTATAAAGAAAAATCAAATTGGCAATCAGTAACAATCAGTGCAATTTAAGGTATTGAGGTTTATGTGAAAATCATACTGTATACTAGGTGAACCAGGCTTAGCCTGAAGTAGAATTCAAAGAATTCCACATGAACTGACTTATTTTCTACTGCTGCCAGTAATTTCTGTGGTAATAATGGAGCAAGCTATAAGGAAGATCATTGCATGAGATGATTTTATTATTTCTTTGTGCTGAAGAGCACCCTTTTATGTATCATCCAGTTTCACATTTTGTTAGCCAAACAACCTGCTTTTAACTTTGGAACATTACTAGCTGATGATCACAAATGACAGATTAATGTCAGTCAGTGTAGTGCCAAGCTCCATGGCAGGAGCCACCTGGCAGAACAAGGTGATCCATCTCAGTGAGATCCCTCTGGCCTTGGAAACTATGGAAACTATCCTTCTTCCCTGTGCTTTCCTCTCCCACATCAATGAATTAAATATGGATTGGCTTCAGTTTTTGATTATTAAAGACTTAGCCACAGTAGTTTCTAAGTATTTCACCCACTTTCACTTTGTGGTTTCTCAGTATCTAGATAGGTTTGGAAGGATTACATTCTTCTCCCTCCACCCCATCATCCCTTGCCATGACTTCCCTGGACTCGTCTCTTTGCCAGTTTTATCTTCTATAATGTTTTCTCTTTGTTTGTTTGTTGGTTGGTTTGTTTTTTCTCTTTGACTCACTCTCCAGCTCTTCCCCACATCACCCCACACTGAAATGTGTGCCCAGGTTGGGGCACCCTGGGATAGATCATCTTCCTGCTTCTGGTTTTCTCAAATGCTCCTTTGTGCACAAGGAACACATGCTGTTTTAAAGAGCAGGATATCATATACATAATGTTCAGCAAATTGTTTTTTGTTACTTGTGTTCATTCTTCTGGGACATGTTAGTAATTAATATTCAGTGATGCGAATGCAACACAATTTCTGTAATTTTTTCATACTGAAGGACATTGAGGCATTTCACACTAAGTTGCAGTAACCATCCCAGCATGTCTGTCCATGTCATGCTTTGCCTTTAGTACAATGTGAGGCTGATTCTCACCTGAAAAACGACAGCTCTGATATATATGCGCACTGTTGTCATTTTCAGGCAGGCTAAGCCAGAGCCCTCCCTTTGAGCTATAAGGAGAGGGATAACACAGTCGTTTGATCTTTGCTTTGTGAATTCTAAAAATATATTAAGGTACCACCATGACAGGGTTTGAGCAAGTGTTGGGGAATCTGTGAATGTCTGTGTCAAAGTATTTTTTTTATAAAATCATATTGTAGTCTTTTCAGTTTAAACATACTTGAGTTCTTCATTTTAAGGAAAGAATCAGCCACCATGAAGTTATAGTTAATGACTGTTTGACAGCCTAAGATGCAGTATAGTATATTTGGCCTGTGAAATATTAAGCTAACCAACAAGTTTCAGTTTGGTTTTAATTACCTACCTTGTTTACTGAGATGGTCTGGAGCATGGTGGCATGCACACAGCAGTACAGGCCTGATTCAGCCCAAGACTGCGTTCTTACACAGATCTGTGTGTGGAACGCAAGGCCTGCTGCTCTCTGGCCATGTGCAGTGGGAGGCAGTGTTGTGAGTCACAAGTGGAGTCATCAGCACAGGTTGTTCTACAGCTCATTTGGAGAGGATGCTGTACAGGAACATTGTAATAATACCATTGTGCATAAATACAGCTAAATTACAGGTTGCTGGTTCAATTCTCTATAGAAGGAAGAATGAACATTTTAATCAAATTCGGTGTTCTCGCTACTACAGTTCTAACTTTCCATAAATTGATTAGACCTGTTAGCTAAAGATCTGCAAAAGTAACTTGGTTGCTGGGGATCCGTACAGTTTAGAATTGAATTCTGAGACTAGCCATGGCACATCCAAGTTATTTTAGTTTATCAGTTGCCTCATAAATATCCTTTTCATGGATGCAATAACTGTAAAAATAGTCTTGAGGTTTCTAGAACTGAGTATCCTGAGAGCATATCAAATTGCCTCTCCCCACAAAATAACTCACCGAGGAGGAAAAGTAATAAATCAATTTAGTATTCCACTGAATCAAAACATTTTTGACTAAACCAGATCAATCATAGTAGATCAAACCATAGCACATCCTTTGTCACAAAGGCTGATTGACAGCTGACATAGGTTATGACTCAGGTGGCTCACACAGTTGGTCAGCGTAGGTGTTTAGATAAAAGTAGCTAGAAGGTAGCACTTTTGTATTAGTGCTACAACTGGAGAAGAAAGGAGGAAGAGCTGTGTTCAGGCTGTGGACTAATCCATCTGTCTCTGTGGTTGTAAAAGGATTAAGTCTGCCAATTAACATTTCTTCTCTTGTTGAATCTTCCCATCTGAATTCAGGAGACCTTGTGGTCAATATTGGAATTATCTAGTGGTATCTTTAGGACTTATCTGGGAAAATGTTAAGGAAACAGTCACGATGTTTTTTAGCAGGAAGATTTCTTACAAATAATCTTGCCTTGCCTGGTGAACATGGTTTAGAAATAACCAATGAGTCAGTGGCTTCCCGATTAATTATGATGTTAATTTTTCTCTGGAGTGTGATGTTAAGCTTACGAAGCAGACTACAGAGTCTCTTTAGATGCTTTTCTGAATGAAATACTAGTAGCAAGCTTATTTGGGTTTTCCTGGGATCCACCAAGGGGCTCTGGGCCTGTGACGTTCTTCACCAAGGCACATTGTTAGTAGTAAATAGAATAGGCAGGATACAGGAGGAAGAAGCTGGGTTAAGAGGAGATGTGCATCCTAAGTCTGATTCAGAGAGAGTGACACCTGCTGAGATACCTGGAAGGTCAGGGATGGCAGTGTCCAGAGCACCAGAGTCCCATCTAGGACACTGTTAGCACTTGGGCTCCCATTCCTTTCACAGTCTTCCGGGAGCCTGGGCATGCCGGCAGCATCTTTCTGAGCCCCTCTGCGAGAGCCTCCCTTCCTGAGTGCAAATCAAAAATGCAGCACGCATGTATACAGGATTTCTGGAACAGCACTAGCTCTGTGCATCTCATCACCTCATGACCCACCCTTGTTAGCTCTGTCTTTCGCCATCTGTACTGTATTTCTCAAACTACTTCATACAAGCAAAGATGTCTCAAGAATTCTTCACAATCTAATCCAAATATAGTTACTCCACATGACTTTAGTATATGACTTTAAACCCAAAAACCACACACGGTTAGTTAGGCCACCCAGGGGACAGACTCTGTATCCACAGCCTGGGGTAAGCGCAGCTCAGCTGGGAGGCTCTGTGGGATTTCTCACCAGATAGCCAGGCTGGGGCACGCAGACCTGCTGGGGCTCCTTAGGGTTCTGTGCAATTGTGGGAGTGCTGGTATGATAGCAGAGCGGCTCTGTGTTGAGCTTTTATTTTGCCCTGAAAGCTGTTGGGTATGGGGCCCCTGAGTTAGTTGATGGAAGAGTTTAAGACCAAACTAGAGAAGCATCCCTGTGGCTTGATGAAAGAAAAGTATCCAGAGATTCCCTTATGAACAGCAGCCTTGGGCAGTTTGAAATACCTTTCAGCTCTACGTGGTTTGGTAGTGACATTTAGTAACTAGAACAGATTGTAGTATTTTTCTCTCTCCTTATGGTCACCTTAACAATGACTGTGTTTTAGACCTCAGGGTCTGAGAGGTGAGTGTAAAGAATGTGGGCCCCCCAGCTGTAAGATTCATCTCAGAGTAGAGTTGAAGCTCTTAGAAGTCTATTGGTGTCTTTGAGATACTCACTGAAATGTTTTCTGTACATAACTTACTTTGTCCAGAAAATATAATTATCTAGGTGTATGTAACTTTATTAAGCTGATCAGGAAACAGATGCTAGTTGTTAAATAATAATGATTTCTTGCACAAACAGCCATCAGTGGCCTATGTACATACCACGCCGGGCCTACCTTCAGGCTGGGAAGAAAGAAAAGATGCTAAGGGACGCACATACTATGTCAATCATAACAATCGAACCACAACTTGGACTCGACCAATCATGCAGGTATGAAGATTACCATCCATCCTAAAATCACAGGCCGTAACAGCCAAGATGGATAAGACCTACATCCTGTTCCCAGTGTTTATGTACTGTTGGGAAGGACTCATGTTTTAAAAAGTCGCTGAAGAATGACATGCATTCCTTTCAGTGTAATAGTAATATTTGCCTTTGGAAGACTTGGTCTTCAAATCAGTCTGGCCTTAGATACATGTTATTTTATTTTTTTGTTTTGTTTTTTTGGATTTTTTGTGGTGCTGGGGATTGAACGTGCTAGGTAAGCACTTTACCCCTGAGCTATATCCCAGGACTTGGTCACACTTTTTTCAAGTGTGATGTGAAAGGTGTTTTCAAAGTCAGAGGCTATTGCAGTGTATAGCTTCTACCCACCTTTTTTCCAAGGCTAGTTTTACACAGGCCAGTGATTCATTTTTGTTCCTCTTGAATGTGTTTCCCTATCCTTTCCCCCATTATTATGTTTAATTATTTCCTCCAGGCTTTAAATAGGCCAGACCCCTTATTACTGCTGTGTGTGTTGTTTGGGTTCACGCTCCTAATCACACACAGAGAGATCCTCATATGAAGCTAACTTGTTTTTGCCTTCAAAATAGCTTGCAGAAGATGGTGCCTCCGGATCAGCCACAAACAGTAACAACCACCTAATCGAGCCTCAGATCCGCCGGCCTCGTAGCCTCAGTTCGCCAACAGTAACTTTATCTGCCCCACTGGAGGTGAGAAGGCTACCTTGTCTGACCAAGGTCACCTCTGTCCTGTGGCTTCGCATTCTTTCTCTCCTTTCTCTCAACTTGGACTTCAGTTTTACAGCCACCTCCCTCTGATCAGTCGTGTGTTGCTGGTGAGGGGTGTTCTGTGCAGACTGCCTACATGCTTCTCTGTCTAGCCCAGAGAACATCCCGGATTCTCACACAATTTCATTCTCACTTGGCTAACACCATGCGTGGTAACTTGTGCTGGATGTGGGCACTCTCTTTTCAGAACTTTTACCATTCTTGCTGTGTTTTGCTCCTTCTTGCCTGTTACCTCATTAGAATTGTGCAATAACTCTTTCCAGTACCAGCGCTTATATTGAGTTTTTAAACATAGCTGTTGCTTTGATCATTTTTTTTTGGACTGTCAGGGCTTTCATTGTATGGGCGTTCGTGTCTCTGATGCATATCTTTATCCTTAAATCATTGCTGGACATCTGCTTGTGCGCTCTCCTGTTTGTGTTCTTTTAGTGCCGTTCCTGAGCATCAAAAATGTGAGAATTTAAAAAGCCAGAGAGTAAACATTTGAAGTTCTAAACTTGACTGTGCCCTAGAGATGGCTGTGGGTTCTTTCTTGCTGTGGTCAAGCTGCTGCTGAGCAGGAATGGGTGACTGCTTCTGCAGACTCTAATGTAAATGTTACGGGTAACAATTAGGTCATTCCAGGTGGTTCTCTGCACTATTGGAGGTTTTTGTTTCTGTGCTCTAAAACTTGCCAATCTATTCTTTGTTAGACTGTGAGCTCACTAAGAGCAAGGACATGTTTTCCTCCACTTTGTAAAATCCCTATCCATAATGCTTAATACAGTATTCTATATTAATATATTAGTACTATTGTATTTCTGGTACATACCCAGTGGCTACCAAATATTGGTAGTTATAAGTACTTAATATTGTGTGTTTAACCAACAACCAAGAAGTATGTCTGTAGAAAAACAGAAAAAGTATAAAGTTAGACTGACTTACAAGTAAATGCATGAAGAAACGGGTTTTTAGGAGCTTCTCACTTGTCCATCTCTAGGGAGGAGCATTTTACAGTACCCAGGTACATTTTGACACAGCGGAATAGCTCATGGCGAAGAGTTCTAATGCTCATTATTATTCCTTAGGGTGCCAAGGATTCACCCATACGCCGGGCTGTGAAAGATACCCTTTCCAATCCACAGTCCCCACAGCCATCACCCTACAACTCCCCCAAACCACAACACAAAGTCACACAGAGCTTCCTGCCACCTGGCTGGGAAATGAGGATAGCTCCAAACGGCCGGCCCTTCTTCATTGACCATAACACAAAGACTACGACGTGGGTAAGGCTGCTGCTTTTATTTGGCACCATTTTCACCTTGAGGTCTGGCGTTACTCCTCGCCTCCCATCCTCAGTGCTCATCCTTCCTGGAGAGGCGCGTTTCTCAGGCTGTCTCCTGGGGGCCTTGGGGTTGGCGGGCCGGTGAGTGTGGGGACAGAACCTGATGGTCGGGGTGCTGATCCCAGCTTTCCCTGCAGTTCTCACAGAGCTCCTGGAGAGGGCCGGTTTTGACAGCTGGCCACACCTGGGAAATGGGCGGCACCCGTATTGTTAGGATTTGGGTATTACTACATCACATCTCGTGTGGTTGCCGTGTTATAAGGAATTACAGTCTTTCTAAAGATATTTTGTCTTTGTCCATTTCTTTTTGCATCTTTATTGACATACCATCCTTATTTTATTTGTCACTTTTTTGGTGTTTAAACATTTTCATTCCTTTATTTATGTATTGTATGACTTGCTTGAGACGTGTTGAATGACTTGGTTATAAAATCTGATCACTCTTTTGAGTATTTTGTCAAAAATGATTCTCCTATCCTGCTGTACTTCTCCGTGCTCCTGAAATCGTGGGTGAGAAAAGGTCTGTGTGTTGTATTAACTTGGGCAAAATGAGATTAAGCAAAGGTGAATATGCATATCTTCCTATTCCTCTATCGGGTGTTTTTTTAGCTGAATCAGTGGTGGCTTTGTCAAGGTAACATATAGTTCTTTTAAAAGTCTGTTGATATTTCTCTGATGTAAAATCTCTAGACCTACAGTTGAACTCAGATGGGTTCTCTTATTTCTGGCTTGTTTGGCTGCTACAGGTTGTTTGTTTTTATATCTCCATCCAGTTGTCTGGGTCAAGTTAACTCAGAGATCAGCTTAGTCCTATCCTTTGTGTTGCTTACTTAGAACTGATGCTATATGAAAGCCAATTAAGTTTTAGAGATTTATCCCTGGCCCAAGTTCACAGCGTTAGATCAGATATGAACTTGCACTTTGAATTCCCATTTCTCGTGACCAATCCCTAGCATGTCCAGATAGTTGCTGGAACAGCAGTATATATTAAGGAGAAAGCCTCTACCAAGGGGATCTGGGCTGTCGTTTGTACTTGATCCATTGTGTGATGTTAATCCAGTCCCTTGAGAATTAGTCTGGAGGGTACTCCCTTAAGTCTTACGCTGCGGACCCATGAGGGCATTCTTGGCCCTTGGGGCAGGCCTGTGCCTTCCCCTGGGGAAAGTCTTACATCCTTGGCTCCTGGCACTGAATGTTAATAGCTGCCATCACTCCCTTCACCAGCATACTGATAACCAAAAATGCTCCACACATTTCCAGACACTCCTCACTGAGAACCACTCTAAAACCTCTTCCTATTTTGTAGTAAAGGAATTTACTGACCTGCCAAGAGCACTTATCATAGAGATCTGATGACATTCATTTGGTAAACTGATAACTACTTCTAAAGCATCTAATGACATAGAGGTTTGTTTGACTCACCTTTTAGTCTGAGATAGTATTACAGGTTTGTGGGCCAGATAAGAATAAGAGACAGGCAGTTCTTTGGAAAATAGAGTAATGAAGATTGGTTTTAGGTCTTTTTTTTTTGTCACTGGCACAGAATCTATGGCTGCCCTACAGGTGTTGCCCTTCCCCATACCACTGCTGTAGTTTCAAATCCTTAGCCAGAAATTGGAGCTCCAGAAACAGGAGGTAAATATTATAAAAGTAGATGGATTAGTGTATGGAGCCACTGTGGCTTGCCAACATAAGCTATGATTTTAGTAATTTGAACTAGCTTAGTAATCAAATCCCCTAACCTTTTCACAGCCTTTCACACCACAACTGCAGTGTAATTGCAACTGGGCAGATTTTATTTTAAATAGCACTAGCTTTATTTATTGCCAGCATTGTTGTTGAATGAAACCCAGTTTTAACTTTCAGATACCTCTTTCTACCCAGATACTTGTTATTGACTAAGTCACTCACTCACAATTTTAAGTTGTTAAAACATTTTATTGTTGCTGCTGCAACTGCTACTATTGAAGATCCCCAAGGCAACAACTGGAAGTCCTCCAAGTTGCTGCCCTTCTAAGGAAACTCAGATGTGCTGCCACATCTGTGTTATCTCATATAAACAGAGCCTTGCACAGAATTCTCAGTGTGGAAGACACACTCTAAATTACATGTGCATTTTGACAAAAGTATGGAGAGAGGGTGGGTACTGTCAGGATCACTTTGGGCTTAAAATCTGTTTCAGGTTGGTTTGGAGGTCTGCTTTGTTTTTTAAAAAGAGTAAATGAGAAGGCAGCTTACAGCTGTATGCGTCTTAGATTTGAACATTAAAATAGTAAAAGGAAAAAAAACAGGTAGGACAGGTTGACAATAAACAAAATAATGCTTCCTGTTTCAGCCTGGATAATCTTGATTCTTACACTAACCAAAAGTATGAGAATATTCAGGCCATTTCCCTCTATGCATTGATAAAGATTCCATTCCAACTATATGTACAAGACCCATTTGTCTATACACAAATGAGACACACAGCATGCCTGTAGTCTATTTGGAAAAAATGTCTGGCCACCTTTTTTTAATTTTATGGAAAAAATAAAACAAAATTTCATAACAAAATAAGAGAATAACAATAGCTAATATATTGCATATTGTTATCTTCAAAGTAATTACTCAGAGTACAAGATATGGACATAAAAAATTCTCCGAACCATTTTAACACCTTTCTTTTCAATGAACTAAAAGAAACCAGTAGTATAACTATTTTCCCTTTTCCTTTTCTTCCTTTCCCCTTTCTCCCACCCTAATTCTTCTTTCCTTTTGAACAATTTCTTCCCATTTCACAATATCTATTGTACATTTTGGTCCTTATTTACTCTTTCAATTTCTTACACCAAGGAGACAGTACCCATGTTTACACATGTGAGTCTGATTTATTTCACTTATGGGTATGGTTTCAAGTTGCATCCATTTACCTGGAAATGTCTCAAAGTTATTCTTCTTTATGGCTGAGTAGTACTCTATTGTATACTTTTTTTTAATGGTTTTTGTTTTGTTCCCACTTGAGTGAGGCTGGCAGGGAATGAATGCTAGAGACCACCAGGATGCCTCAGCTTGCTGTGGTGTAGCTCGAAGAAAAAATTTTATACCTTAGTTAAGTTTCAGCTTTGCATTTATACTCAAGTTCCAGATAATAAAATTGATTGCAGCCTCGCCATGATTGCTGGGTAGAAAGTATAAAGGATAAAGCACAGGTTTGTTTTTTTTTAAACCAGTCAATATTCTCATATTTTATATATTGTTAAATTAGGAAACCATTTTTGGAAAACAAAGACTTATCTTTGCACTCTGTTTAAAAATTTTTTCAACTAGATTAAGGGAAGCAATTAATTATTTGTTGCCCTTACTATGTTGAGAAAAGGGAGAAACATATTTACATATTTCATTCATTTAGACTCTTATCATATGAGCCTCCTTAGCATTCAAGCTTATCACCATCCCTAAAGTTGTCCATAGCTACCACCAGTCCTTGACTGCCACCTCCTACTCCAGGGATGGGTAACCTCTTAGAGCTTTCAGAGATAACAAGTAGCCAGCTGCGGTATGCATGCCATAGGTTCGCCTCCACTGTCCTACTATACCAGCTGTGGGGGTGCCGACCTCCTTGAGTCATTTAGGGGGCTCATAGAGAGAGTGATTTCAGTAACCACCAGAGAGCCCTCCGAGCATGGTTAATGGCAGCAGCTGCCATTATTTTCATTAATGCTGATAAAATAAAATGATATGACCTCTTAGGACCTTGGGTCCTTGTAGCCTATGAACCCTGGTTTTCCATGCAAGGCCATTTTAACGCACCTATGAAATTGAGCTTATTTTCTATTTGTTATACCCCCCAAATTTCCCAGCCCCCTTCTTTAATCTTAGCTTTTTTCCCTCTCTCTAAATCACCCGCTTTTTACCAAAAAGGCATGGTTGACTATAATTCTAAAACACAGCTGACCTTGCATATAGCATCCAGAATCCCTGCCTCCTTTTGGGTAGTAGCTATCCAGGGCTTTCTCTAACCTGCCATGGTCATTGGCTACAGGGGGCCCCAAAGGGCTCTAGTAGCTATGTTCTTACCTGGTGTCGCCTAGAGTTAGAATTGAATGGATAGCTTGTGTGGATTTGGATGGTTTAAACTTTTCCTCTGTCTATAGTCAACCAGTCAAAAATGTTTACCAGATTATCTAAATGTTTAGTACACTTCTTTACTCTCTGTATGTTCACTGTACTACAGAATACTGGACTCACTTTGTACCACTTCTCATACTTTCAGATATAGATTGGATTCAGGGTCAGCATTCATTACAAACTGCTAGGATGATTTATTTCTTCAATTAAAAGCTTACAGTAGTTAAAAGAAAGCAAAGATTAATTTTATTTTTGTGATTTTTTTTTTTTATCATTTCCCAGAATTTATCCATGGATACAACAGTATGCTGATGACTCAAGGGGTTGTTGAAGCAAAAACTTCTTAGTAACTTGACAGCAGCAGAGGCTGGAAAATAATTGAGTTAAGCTAGCGTCAAATGTCTCTAGGGTTTGCCTTTTAATCTTGGGCAGATAATGTTATTCTAGTTGACAGTATTTTTTTTCCAAGTTTTTTTATTTTCTAATCTTTTGAGTTTAAAGATCTGGATTGTCTACGTTACATCATGGGGGCAGCTCCCACTCTCTGGGTCCTAACCCATGGCCAAATCTGTATAATCTCTGATACTTTTTCCCATCTAGAGAAACAGAGATAGTGTGTCCAACCTCCTAATAAAGGAGTATTGCAAAATCACATCTGATGATTCTTTGTAAATCAAGCATGACCCAAGATGTCAAATTACACATTTCTCTTTTCTTGATTTCCTGTGCTATTTTATGAGGCATAACCCTTAATAAAAAGTCCTATAAATTTTTATATTAAAACATAAACAAGAAGCCAGTGTGCAGAACTCGGTGGGAATCTCAGTAAAGCTCCACATTGAGTGCATGATTTCCTACAGTGCATCAGGCTTTCTCAGGAGCAACCACTTGACTTGGCAGCAGACCAGATTCAAAACCCCTGTATTGCTTAGGAAGGAGCAGAGGGACACAGGTGCTGATGGGGTGCTGTTCCTATGTATCAGAACCCAGAAGAACACTTACAAAGCCTTGTCCCCTCCCATCTGGAATGTAGCCATGGTATCACTGCCACCTTTGTTCTGGTTTCCATGGTGAATCACTGCTGGAACCCTTTCCCCGGTCACCTTTTCAAAGTCTAGGGGAAATAGTTAACCTTTTTGAATATTTATACCCAGTTGCTTCACTAAGCACAAGATAAAGAGTAGAGACTTGAGAGATGGTTTGCCAGGCTGTCTGTGGAAACACAGAGATGGGATCCTTCCCGTACACCTTGTACAAGCAACCTCGTTGCAACATCTCAAGGAGAGAGGGAACCCGTAACTGCACACAGAGTCCCTAACATCTTCTGTCTTTGACATTTTTCTTGCAGGAAGATCCACGCCTGAAATTTCCTGTACATATGCGGTCAAAGGCATCATTAAACCCCAATGACCTTGGCCCGCTTCCTGTGAGTATACTGGAGATGCATGGAATGAGCTGAAAGTGCTTGTTTGTTTATCTGCCCAGTGGTGATGTAGAGGACCTGTGAGTCTTTGCTTTCTCCAAGCTGCCTGGATCTCACTGATTTGTGTTTGTCAATAGGGTTGAATTTGTGTTAGAATTCCAAGACCATACTGCAGTGTATGTGATAGCAGCCCTTGAGAAATTAAGTTTCTGAATTGCTAACCACTTAATGGAAGGTAGACCTTGAACTAGGATATGCAAGAGGCATTCACTGCAGGTGACAGTTTAAGCAGCACACATTTATTTTACAAGTTAACAACCACTGAGTTCCATCCATTTGCTGATTTAGTCATAGCAGCAAAAATACTGAAAACAGCGTGGGAGAAAAAGACATAAGTAATCACAGGAAGTTTAAGTAATCACAGTAAGTCATTTGACCTGCAAATATTTTGAGTTGTTTCTCCTTTGTGGGTGACTACTTATAAATCTAATGTTTTACCAGTTTGTTTTCTTTGAGGGAGTGGAGCTCTTTGGTCCAAATGGATTTTGAATGAAATTTCACTGTGCATCCTTCTGAACAACCCGCCCATAAAAAAAGCTGGAGGGTAGCAATCAAGAGGCAGGGTGCTAAGACTAGTTTTAAATGGACAGTGTGTGTGTGTGTGTGTGTATGTGTGTGTGTGTGTGTGTGTGTGTTGTCTTTCAAGCATAAGAACCTTTCTGTTAGCAACAAGCCCAATATCCAATCAACCAAGTATTGCCTCTCAGGGAGGAGCTGGAGCCCCTACCCATAAAACAGGATTGCAGCTCCAGATTGAGCACTATCCAGCTGTAGGCCCCGCCACTCCTCTGGGGTGGCTCTTTACCAATTCCTTTTACAATACCTGCAATAAAATTACTTCCACTTTGCATGGGCCTTCTGTCCTTGCTCTTCCTCTTTCTGCATCAGAAAGAGAGACAAGCTCAGCGAAGGTGAGTTTAGAGATCCTATACCCCAGGGCCCACTGGACATAACAGTTCCTGAATTTGAATAGTGGGAATTAAAGGCAGCGAACACCAGTATTATAGTGTTTTGCCACTTAATATAAATAAAGCCACTGTGCCTACATGCTTATATTCGCCCTCCTCCTCCCTCACTGTAGTACTCAGTATTTTTTTAACCAAGTAAGCTTTCACGTATGCTGAGGTTCTGTGTGCAGCTTTTGTGGTAACACCCCTGTTTTTGTTCATCACACAGGGAATGATCTGAGATGGTGGGATATATGTGTGTGGCTAGATCTTGTCAGGAGTTAACCAGTAACTTTTATGTTTATTGTGACTGTAAAGATGTACCTCAGGAGAGAAGAGTAAGAAAAGTTCCCCTGATATTTTAAGTCATTGCCTTTGATAGTGGACCTGCTAACTGATGTTTGCATTCTCTCCGCTGCCCCTCGCTGGATACCAGCCTGGCTGGGAAGAAAGAATTCACCTGGATGGCCGCACATTTTACATTGACCATAGTAAGTAGGTGCCACTCTGGACACACAAGTGTTGCCGGGTAAGGGGAGCAGGAGGGGGGTTCAAATATGATAGTGAAAGCTTTGTCATTTTACTCTCTGTCCAGGCAGCCAGGTGTTATGTGGAGAGAATGATACCCGAGAGTCAGTGCCCTCGTACGGTACTGTACCTTTCCCTGAGTTTGCTTTCTAGTAGCCCATCAAGCTTCCGCCCACTTTGATCTTGTGACTTATTAACTTTTTTTATAATTTTTTTTAAAATTTCTTGGTTGACAATCCCTTGATATTTGCGCTTTTATTAAATACACTCTGAAAATAGAAAATAAGATTAGAGGCACTGATTTAGTCAAAACAAATCTATGTGTGAACAGTGCATTTAGCTGTATACAAGTTTTCAGAACACTGCCTTCAAAGGTCTTATGGCGAGATGCTCATTCTGACCTTATTTTCTATTCATAGCATGTTCCCTTGCACCCAACACACTAATAACATACATAGCTGTTTTCTTGAAGTTGTAGTGTATTTGCTGAAGACAGTTGCTCCAGCCCCCATGAATAAACGTGTGGTTTCTCATTACAACTAAAAATTACACTAATACATGTTTGCTTTTAGCTGGTGGGTTGTTTTTTTTTTTCATTTTCTTTTTTTTTTTCACTTTTGATGTGACATGTTCTTCATGGATCATATTTTTATAGCACTTAAAACTTCTGAAAAGGTGTATTAAGACCTCAAGTAGATGTGAAGTTTAAATTATGTGTACAGTGTGGTAGTATTTTCGTCCTTGTTTTTATTTGGTTCATAAACAGGAGGTCTGCTCCAGGTGTTCCCACATTTTTATAACTAAGCAACAGCACAATGACAAGCCACTTGCTGAAAGTCTGGCCACGGGGAATCCTCATACAGACAGAACTTGTCTCTGGCTGAGGCATGGCACCCTTCTAGGTGTTACTCGTGCACCAAGTGCATTGCCAGAGGACTTTGTTCCCAGGCACCTAAGTTTAAGGCAGTGGTGGTGAACCTATGACACACATGCCACAGCGGGCTGTTTGTTATCACTGAAAGCTCTAAAAGGTTCGCCATCACTGGTTGAAGGGTTGGTATAAATTGAATTAAGCAACAGGCCCCACCAATTCAGAATTAAACCAAAAGCAGAAGTCTTTTGTATAGGGGAGAGGGATACCTTTGGATTTAAATCAAATATTTTAAGAGACATTGGCTTAGTTTTCACCTTTGATCAGAAAATCATTTTCATTTGCATAATTTCCAGAATTTTACAGTAAGTGTAATGTTGCTGCCACAAATGCTTTAAAATGTATGTGTGTACACCACTTTCCCCCTCAATATATTATTTATTTACAATTCTACTCTTCAGAGAATTCGTTAAAATCAAGGAAAGGTCATACCCATTTTTCCCTTTCAAAAAATTTCTGGGTGTTTTTTTCAGTTTTCAAAGAAAAATATAAAATTATAATACTACACTTGATCTTAGCCAAAAGGCCGAGAAGCGATAAAATTATAATACTGGTCATTTCATTGAAACAAGATCTTAAGCAGTAACACTACCTTGTTCTGTGACTCACAAGCATTTCTCTTGCTGTTAATTGTTCTGGCTAATGGCCTGATGCTTACATTGTTCTTAATCTACCCCAGCAATTAAAAGGAAGAACAGTGCTACCACAAAGAGGTCCCCTACTGTGCACTAGAAACTAAAATTATGGAGTTGCCCTAGGTCTTGTGTGGACCTTGTATAGTATTTGGTAGATGTTTGGTAAATGGTAACTTGAAGCTGGGTTCATGAAGTGCCAGTGGTGAAGGTCTTGGAGCTGCTGTCCTTGAGCAGAGTGGAGACCAAATGTCCGAGAAGCAGCAGCTCCCCGCCAGCCTGCTCACCAGAGGTGGAAGGGGCGGCTGCTTGCTGGATGCCCGGCTGCTCCTGACTTCTGATCTGTCTGTTAGTTGTTCCAGTGCTCACCTCAGACATGCTTCATTCCCTGTGGGAGGCTCCTCTTCACTCCTGGGAATCTAACAATATAGGAAAGACCATGTTGGGAGCCTAATGGCTCTGAACTGTACGAATATATTTATCATCATGGATCTGCAGATTAAAATCTATTTTTCCTTTGTACAGCCGTACTGAAAGTTCCTCTTTAACTGGAAAAATTAGGTTACTGAAAATCATTTAAGAAAAAGATCTGTTTAAAGGAACCCCATTAGCTTTTTTTTTTTTTTGCATTTTTAAAATTTATTTTAGAAATAAAAGAAGGAATACATTTTAACAAACAGACATCCATTTACAAAATAGCATAAGAACAATACAAACAGTACAGAGTTACAGACAGTGGTAGGGAATTAACAATGGTTGTTGTATTACATGTTGATGTCTTCAAAGTGGTTTCTCAGGAAAACAAATAGAGACATGCAAGACTGATCAGATAAGTAATCATTAACTGTTCCTTTCTGTAAAGTGATAGAAGTCAGTATTGCATCTATGTTAGCTATCCTGTGTATACATATATACATAATTTCCCCTTCTTTCTTTTCTCTTTTCCCTCACCCCAGTTGCTCTTTTCTTTTGAACATTCTCCTTTTGTCTCACAATGTCTATCATAACTCCTAATTTTTATTCACTCTTTCAGATTCTTACACTAGTGAGACAATAGTTTGCTTACACATGGAGGTCTGGCTTATTTCACTTATGAGTATGGTCTCTAGTTATGACCATTTACCTGTAAAAGCCTTGAGTTTATCTTTCTTTATAGCTGAATAATATTCAGTGGGAATGCAGACTGGTGAAACCATTGTGGAAATCAGTTTGGAGATTCCTCAGCAAACTAGGTTTAGAGGTCCCATTCAACCCAGCTATTCCCCTTCTGGGTAGTTCCCCAGAAGATCTGAAAACATCATGTCACAGCGATATATGTGCACCCATGTTCATAGCAACGCAATTTGTAATTGCTAAATTGTGGCAGCAACCCAAATGTCCATCCACTGAGGAATGGATAAAAAAATCATAGTACTTTTATATAATGGAATATTACCCCATTAGCTTTTAATGTTGCATTTCTGCCCAGTCTCTAATTTGCCAAGGTTTACCCATTGGAAAATGATAAAGGAGAGGTACATGTCAACAAAACAGGTGAGGGGGCTGGGGATTTAGCTTAGCGGCACAGTGCCTGCCTGGCAAACGCAAGGTTGTGAGTTTGATTCCCAGTACTGGGGGAAAAAAAAAAAGTTGAATTCATTTACCTTTCCTCCAAAATCTAGTCTGAAAAGTACAGAATCCCTACATTTTTCAGAGGCTTTGTTGGGGCAACAGGTATTTTCCAAAATAACCTTAATTTCCTGATAGATAATATTCAAGGATTCTCTTACCTTCCGAATTTTGCTGTCATAATATCTGCAGGACAGAGATCATCAACAAGGTCATCCTACATGTACCACTGCATGGTGATGCACGCCATCATCTTGTAAGTTGTTCAGAGTCATCCTGTCTTCCAACATAGCTGAGACATGTGATTACAGGCATAAATGTACTTGACCTTTAATTACTTAATTCTTCTTGATAAGTTAGACACTTTCAAGATTAGCAGTATTCAACCTTAAAGATTGTTTTTTAGGAACAGTGAATGTTTAATTGTAGTCTTCAGTTCATTCTTGATCCATTTAGTTGACCTTTATTGATTAGCACCTATCTCTCAGGCCTCGCATAAAAACTCAAGGGAAGAACTGGAAAGGAATGTCCGGTCCTCATGAGAAGGATGTCATTCTTCTTAATACCACATGCACCCAGCAGCTGAGTAATTGGCCACAGGTATCTTAAGTACAGAAGTTAAAAGAGAAGGAATTCCAGGGATTCTTGGTTTGGTCTGCCCTGCAAAGAGTCTTGCCAGACCTGTTAGCAGTAACTAAATTGAGTTTCTCATCCTTCTACTTCTGTTGTGCCTTTTTATTTGAAATACATTTCAAAGATGGAAAGTGTGTGTAGAGTCAAAAGTTCTTAAAATTGTGTTACTGGTTACCATGTCGTTCATACACTGACAACACTTAGCTTCAAAATTGATCTTTATTGTGACCACACAGAAACTTGAGTGGTTCTGAAAGGTTCTGCTTTAAAGGAACTTTTTCACCATCAACTTCACTCAGTCATTAACAAGATAACATATTGAGCTCCTGTTACATACCAGAACCAATGTCAAATGGTAGCCATGGGTTTGCAGAGATAAATAGCACACAGCTCCTGTCCTCAAGGAGCTTACATCCAGAGGGAGTGCCACGAGAGTCGCCTTAGCTGTTATCAGCAGTGTGAACCAGTTATTTGGATGCTGTTTGAGGGAGGCTGAAAAGGGTGGTACAGAAAGGGTTCCCTTTCAGATAGGTTTCACACCCAAGAAGCGCGGAGCCTGGCAGGCCCCACAAAGAGCGGCAAGTGTACAATTTTGCACAGACTAGGCCATGTTCAGAGAAAGGCCACCATGTTCCCCCTAACTGGTGTGCAGACAAGGCTGGTGTGGCACCCAGACCAAGTCACAAGGTGTCTGGCAGGTGTTGGGCCTCTGGTTCACTCTATAAGCAGTGTAGAGCTCAAACGAGGTTCTCCAGAGGGGAATGGCCATAGTTATATGTGTGCTTTATAAAGATTCTTCTGGCAGTGCTGTCAAGAAAGTCTTGAGTAGGGTTGGATGAGACTAGGGCCGGCGAATCCTAGAAAATAGTCAAGGAGAAAGATGGATACCCTAGCAAGAAGCTTAGGAGAGAGTGGGACAGTTCAATGTCCACCAGGGCATTGTGGTGAGGCCGTGGCCTGGTTCCTGATTCACACAGTGAATGGATTGTGTTACTGCTAACCTGGAAGAGAGGGCCATATGAGCAATTTCTGTGGTGGTCTTCCTGGTTTGTGTAGCTGGGCTCAGGACCCTGTGGGAGATCCTGGCACAGGTAGATGTCTGGGATGGAGTTGCAGTTCAGGTCTGGTTTAGGAATCTGATTTGGAAGATTTGGGAGTCCTCATGTTAAGAATAGGCAATTTATTATCTGTTTTGATGATAAAACCTAGTCAATACGGTTTCAACCCAAGTTAGCATTTTAAGTCACAGTTTTTACTGAACTGTATTTTGTGTTCTTTATTTGGTTGCCTTGTTTTCCATCACAGTAGCAATTTTTACTTCTCAAAGTCTTCTGTTTTCAAAGTAAAGGAACCCAAAATTTGCTTCTACTAGGGTTCTCAAAAACAGTTGAGACTTCGTGTAAATGTTCTGCCACCATGAAAGCAAAGGATTGTAGACGGATCACATACCCGAGGAGCTTTTTTTCACTTCTGATTTAGTTAAAACAAGACCAGACTTAGAAATTCCCAGTAGTTATTAAAGCTGAATTCACTAGTTATTGTCAGCCCAGTTACAGGGTAAGAGTATTCAGGGTTACTTTTCAGTTAATTTTCTTCCCTTTCTTTTTTTGACCGACTGGGAAGACCATCTCCCCTAGTCTGCCCTCCCTGCATGTTTTATAGGAACCTGTGTAGCCCTGGCCCTCCGACACACAGAGGGATCCCTGAAGTCTCCTTACTTAGGCACAATTATAAATCTCTAGTGACCCAGGACAGCTGTTGTCTGTTGTCGCCTGCACAAGTAGCAGTGTAGATAGCATTGAGCAATCATGTTCTCTTTGACCCATGTGGAAGAAGAAAAAATCCCCTCTGTCAGCCTAGCCAGCAAGGAAATGTTTCTCTGGAGTTTTCATTGACTGTATCTAATTCTTGTTTTTTGGACCGCTGTAGTTGCTTTGATTTTTGTGTGCGTGTGAGTGACGCATGTAATGGATTATTCATTTGTTCAGTGCAGGATTCCTCATTGAAAGCAGTTTTTCAACACCATAAGCACATAAAAAACTATTTGAAATGACAAAAAAATCCTGTGTGTTTGTTAATCTTCTGAGGAACTAAAACTTTTCATGCCTTTTTTTTAAATAAATGAAAATCAAGATCAAATTATAAATCCTTGGAAGGACAGGGGTTTATAATTAGAATGACAGCAGATTGCTTGCCAAAAACAGTGCAAATAGTTTCACTTTAGTTGTGCATTTTTTATTATTTTTAACTAAACCATATGTGAGAAATTTACCATGTAAGGTATAATTACTTTCTAACCCTAAAATACTAAGTTTTATCCTGGGGGCATAGAATAGAGGACTGGACAACTTTTGAAGAATGCGGAAATAATTCTTTCTAAAACATCCTTTATATAGAATATATTTGAAGTAATGTGCTGATTTTTTTTTTCTTTTTTAACATTTCAGATAGCAAAATAACCCAGTGGGAAGATCCAAGACTGCAGAACCCAGCCATCACTGGGCCGGTCAGTATTTTCAATTTCTGACTCTTGGGTATAAATTTTGGTTGCATCTAAGCACATGTTTCTTGTATGTTCTGATAACTATTGTGCTGAGGACCTAGTGGAGTCAAATGATTAACATTCTTCCCCATATCCTTACCATTTCTAGGTGTGGCTGTATGTGCCTTTTCACAAAAAAAGGGAAAGACAGTGGTTTGATAAAGGTAGCACATTTAGTATGTTTGATAAAGGTAGCATGTTTCTTCTCCTTTGTAAAAAAGTAACTTAAAAATACAGTCAAAATTTCCTCCCTTATATGAAGCAAAACTAGTTCCTATGTTTGTTTTGTCATTTCTTTAGGCCAAGGTTATAGTAAATATGTGCTAATACATCTAAACCTCTTCCAGCTTCAAAATCTGTAGGCCTTTCTGGTGAGGTTGCTTCCTCAGGGTGCTTGCAGAATCAGGAATCTTCAACTCTGCTGACCCACTGACCTTTCTCATCTGTGCCAAGTAGGAAAAGAGCCTGTTCTGACTTAGGTGCAGTGACCTCTCAAGGTGCATCCGCACACTGTATTCATAGAAGGAGGGAGAATCCACTTGTGGATTCTGGTTCTGCAGAAAGGGACTACATGTACCATATCCTAGTAGCTTTTGCCAATAGCTAAAGACATGCACAGAGGTAATTTGGAATTATAGGAAAAGTCCCAGATTCAGCAAAAGATTGTCAATTTAGAGCCCTTTTTAAAAGATTGTAGCATAGTGGCTGGACCCACGGTCTGAGTCTGTGCTTGGCCCACACCACCACGGTTCCCAGCTGAAACTCATGGAGAGAGCCAGGTATTTCCTATCTACTCCCTGAGAGCAGAGCATGCAAACCAGGGCCCTGCCAACATTACAGACTGAGTCTCTCCCCTCCCTGTACCCGCTGCAGAGAGGAGGTCCTCACTCAGAAGCCCCAGGGACTTCTCTGGCTGGGAGCAGGGCATGTAGCCTCTCCCAGCCCCTGCACACCCTGCACCAAGTGAGCGAGTGCTCCGGGAGCTGCTGGACCTGCGGTTCGAGTCTGTGCTTTACCTTTGCCCAGACTCCCTAGCGAGTCGAAGGCTTGGGAAGTCTGTGACTGCTACCCATCCAGGCTGAATCTGGTTCCTGTATGTGTCCTGAACTGACTGGAGACATAGACTCAGGTGGTTCACAAATGGTAGACCCTACAGTTTGTGTCTGAATTATGCCTGTACCCTGAACTGCCTGGGGACATAGGTCCACTGGACCAGGATTGTCACACCAGTGCAGCCTGAGTCAGGTTGTGCACGTGCCCTGAACTGCAAGGGGATGCTGGATCAGACGGTCGGCCATCAACTGACACAAGTGTCCGTGTCTGAGAACGGGGATAACTAGATACAAATCAAAAACTGCCAGAAAACCCAAGACTAAGTAGCGCTTCTCAGAGGTCACTTGGGGGCAAACCTGAAAACAGGAAAACTAGGGACACTAGTGGTCTTGGCTGAGCAGCTACTGAAGAGGGAAACTCAGCTTTCTGCATCCAGTAGCAAACATGA